AATCTCAAAGACAAAGCCCCAAAACATTAGGCTGAGCTAAAAAAAAAGAAAAGAAAAGAAAAAGGAAAAGAAAAATACATATGATTCCATTTAATAGAGTTCAAGAACAGGTCAAATGAGTCCATAGTATTAGAAAACAGAACAATTGTGACCTGTGGGGCTGGACCAGGAAATAATTTTGTAGGGTTCTGGTGTTGTTCTCTATCTTATTTTAGGAAATTGTGATATGGGTGTGCACATTAAACAAACATTTGATACACTCAGAGTCTCTGTGTTGCTTGTCATCTTTAAATTCTACCCTCATGCAACTTATGACACCACACACAGAAATAAGAGCATCTAGAGCAAAAGAACATATATTTTGCACACCCGATATTGTAGGTTGTATCATTGCTGTGTATTAATTCCTCTCCCAAAGCTGGTAAAACAGGTACTCCTAGGGCAAAGGGTAAGGTGGATGACACAGCCACGGATATTGAGAAACCATACCCGCCAGGAAAGACCAAGGCTCTCAGTGCATGCAACCTTCACCCAGTGTTTTAGAAACAAATGTAATTGTACAGAAAACAACACTGGCAATCACTGGCTCTGCCCCATGCAGAGAAACTCTTGGTCAGACAGCAGCAGCGGCAGGAGTGGCCTTTCCCCAAAACCCTGGGAGAAGGACTTTCTCTGAGTACAGGGCATGGGGGTTATGACCCCTTAGACAAGTGATGAGCTTTATCAAGAAGGAAGTGAGGGTGGCATTTGGACAACTGATATTCTCTGCTCTATCTCCCATTCTTCCCTGCTCTATTTCCCATTCTTTCCTACTCCATGGGTTATATATCTCAGTCACAGTTTCCAGATCTTTGTGCCATCCATGACTACCAGATAAAAATGTTTCACCCGATTAAACAAAGACTGCTAGTCTACACTTACGCACAAAACCCTGTCCTTTTGGAAGTGCCTCATTCTTCAAGACACAGTCCCAGGTCCTCCCTAGGCATTGTTCTATGTGATGATGGGATAAATAGGCCCGTGTTATCTCACATTTGTGGGAGACCCTGAAATGGTAAGGCAAGGTCCTGATGCAAGAGCTTTCACTCCTCATCACTGGGACCTTGACAGTCCTGTCACCAGCGCCTGCATTGGTGCTGTGGCTTCTGAGCCCAGACTAAAGAGCAGAGACTCAGTGCAGACTGTACAGAGTGCTGAGCTGCAGCAAGTATCACACACCCACTCGGATGACTGATGCGCGGAGACAGCCTGATGTCATCACAGTCCTCAGCAGACCCCAGCGAAAAAGGGAAAAAGAGCTTGCTCTGCAGCCAAGCCGCTCCCCAGGCTTCAGCAGGGCGGTGCCTGTTCCTCTGAGTCCCAGAGCTTTTGATTCCTGCCTGCTGTGCCTCTCCCTAGCTCCCTTTCTCTGTGCTGGATTTCTTTATCGTGTGTGTGTGTGTGTGTGTGTGTGTGTGTGTGAAGTTCTCAGATGTGTATTTGAATTTTTCGGGTCCTATTCTTAGGCAATATTCTTTGATTTTTGTGGGCTTTGATATCCACTTCTCAGGGAGCTGACAGGCCTGGCTGGAGAGCAGAGTGGATACAGACTGAGGAAGGACAACTTGAACAATGGAAATTTGAAGAGGAAGTGTGAAAACCTTTGTTTGCTTTATGCAATTTAGTCCCCTCCATGTGCACAAGTAGAAATAGGAATTTCAGTATGTAGTGCAAGAATACCCCCTGGGCTCAAAGGGTTAATACAGCTTTTGAAGACTCCTGAAAATTATTCAAACCAGGAGCATACAGATTGCTTGCTGCTCAAAAATAGATCTCCAAAATGCCAAGTGACCCTATTGCTTTCTTTACCAACTGACTGATCTATGGCTGACTGATCAAATTGCCCTTTGCCCTCATTAAAATGGGTGTATTCTTTTACTGATTACAGTTGTGCAATAATGCCTAAAGGAGTGATGTCCAATAGAACTTTCTGGCATGAGGGAAACATTCTATACCTATGCTGTTCAATGTGGTAGTCAACTTTCCCAGGAGGCTAATAAGCTTTTAAAATATGAGTGAGATTGAGGAAGTGAATTCTTAGTTTTATTTCATCTTAAATTTAAAAGTCACACAACATGGTGAATGACTCCTGTATTAGACAACATAGGTCTAGAATTTACCTGTATGCTCTGGTAAAATGTGTAAGACGGGAGTCTTTATGTGCCACTAATTTTGGGAAAATTCAGTGTTCAAACCACCGTAGAATGGTACTCAGGGGACCAGAGAGAGATTACAGTGGGTAGAGCATTTGCCTTGCACACAGCTGACCTGGGTTTGATTCCCGACATCCCATATGGTCCACAAAGCACTATCAGTAATTTCTGTGTGCAGAGCCAGGAGTAACCCCGAGCATCGCTGGCTGTAGCCCCCAAACCAAACAAAACCCAAAACAAAGACCTATGATCAAAGAATTTTGGATAAAATACCTAAAATACTCTCCTTGAGTGAAAAGCGGGGACTTTCTTTTTCTTGAAGTAACAGCTATAATGTTTTTTTTTTAGCCAGATGAAATTCATCTTACCAATTCTCTTCACCTTCTCAGGTAAAACTATGAGTTGCCCCTTCTAGGACTAAGGATGGATTCTTAGGAAAGAGTTCCATTTCAGGAGTCAAGACACAGTTACTGGGCAAGAGGAAGCTGCATTTCAAGAGAAATGGAAAAGTTGTTGGCAGAAATAGGATCCTGAGGTTTATGGTGAGGAGCTATTAGTTCCCAAGGTGTAGGTAGAATTTATTTATAAGAAGGGGTCAGATATGCATGGTTTGGTTTGAACAATTCCCTACCAGATCTGTCTCTGCCCAGCCCAGGAGAATGTATTTACCCTCATTAGACCGAGAGTTCTCTGAAACAAATATTTGCCCAATGCTGTTCAACACTTGCCTTCTTTGTGAGAAATATGTCCCAAGACTCTTAGTGGAGGCCTAAATCAACAGAGAGAACCAATTCTTTTTTTAAAATTATTTTTAATTTTTTAAAATTTTATTTGATAAGATAGTTCACAGTATTTGATTACATTTAATATTCAGACACCAATCCCACCACTATTACACCTTCCCACCACCAAATTTGGGATATTTCCATTTCAAGCCCTGATACTTATCCCAAAGCACAACCGAAATAATATATTTCATATTGGAGGACCAAATTCTTTATTTGCTGTTTTTCTTATTCATCAAAACCTATGACAAAGTGGAACTTATAAATTAGGTACAGCAAGAAATAATGTCAAGTACATCAACAATATGCTGCAATAAAAGATGTGCATGTACTATCCTCTGTGTAGCAGAAAACAGACAAAAGTTACATGAACATGGTCTCTCTTTCTCTCTTTCTCTCTCTCCCCCTCCCTCTCTCTCAATTATCTTATTAAAGGCAATATTTTCAGACCATGATTGATTATGGGTAACTGTTATGAATATGGGAGCTCTATTGTATGTTGCTATGTTCTGTGGACTTGAGACCTTCCTTTCTTTTAAACTAGCATTTAACCAAATCTCCCCAAAACTATCAAGTACGTTCACTCCCTTTTTTTCCAAACTTCCATTGCTTGAGTCAGATACACAATGACTTTGCTGGGATTGTTGCTGTTGAATTGATTGCTGCACAGTCTTACATTTATCTGCTCAGGTCCACTGTGCACAGGCAGCTGGGCAGGAAGGTCAAAGGGGCTGAAGTACAGCCTGAATTTTTGGGATCTGCTATGGATGTCTCTATTTGGAGAATGTGCCTTGTAATTAGTACAAAGGTATCACATAATTATGGGGACAAAGACCTTCATGTTTCAGTATAGTAGCCACTAGCCACATGCAGTTACTTAAAATTTAAGTAAAATTTACAGTACAATTTCTCAGACACAATATAAGTGTCCAATGGCTACTGTCCTAGAAAGTACTGATAAGGCACATTTTCACCTTTGTAGAAAGGTCGAGGGACGCAGGGGATAGACTCTCCTTTTAGTCCTTTCTCTGCACAGCTTGTGAATGCAAACAATATTTAATGCAAATCGAAACACGGCACTCTATTGCTTAGTCGCCTTCAGTGATTTCCACTTTCATCAGCATCCCAGAGTTAGTAGGCAGGAAATCAATTTTTGTGGGTTGCAACCAGCATTAAAAATAGCAAAACAGAATGGGTGGGAAAGTGTGATGAAGTTTTAGCCTTGCTTTGTGAGATTCTTTTTTAAAAGTTATATAAGATATCACTTTGTTTCTCTACGTGTCCATGTGCCTTTCCTATACGTTAATGCTTATATGGTGTTTCACTGAAAAAGTGTTTCTAATTATGCGTGGTGAGCTTACGGGGTCTAAAGCACGAATTCTTTAACCAGGCATATAAGAAAGGGTCTCTGCAACTGACCAACTCTTCAGATTAGAAAGGGTTAAGTTTAATTCCCTTCTAATGCTCAACCATGTCTTGTGAGGTTCCAAAAAAATTTAGATCTGAAGTCACTTTAAGATATTTCCTCCCACCCCATCTCCCCTTTGTGCCTTTGCTCTCTCGAAACCTTCCTTCGAACTACTCCTGCTTTCTTTCCGTCTAGAGGACGGTATGCCTCCGGGAATCATGCCCCGGGCACTCGCACACAGGGCGGGCTCTGTGTGCCCTTCTCTGCCCTTTCACGCCGCAGACTTCCACCCACAGGGTTAGAACTCGGGACTGATGATGATGTCCTTAGGTGTTCCACATCGCTTCTTCCAGTGAGAGAACACGATCTTCCTCTTTCTCGTCTCCCCCAAGACACAGCACCAAACCGGGAACGTAAACGTTTACTGATGCTCAATGAACATTCGTGTAAAGTAAACCATCAACGACGACGGAAGGAGGGCAGAAAGAATCAACAACCTCTGCGCGGCGCGGCCGGCTCCGTGTAATGCCTAATCGAGCCAGGAGGGGGCGCGGGCGCGGGCGCGCGGGTGCGCAGGCGCGCCGGGAGGGCGGGCGCGAGGGAGGGCGCGCGGCACCGGCGGCGGCGGCGGCGGCGGCGGTGGCGGCGGCCGCGGCTGTGGCCGGGGGAAGTGAATGGTTTTACCCAGAGGGCCGTGCGCCGCCTTTCTCCGCTGGCTCGGGCGCCGCTCCGCGCTCCTCCGCCCTGGCCATGGCGTTCACGTTCGCGGCCTTCTGCTACATGCTGGCGCTGCTGCTCACCGCCGCGCTCATCTTCTTCGCCATCTGGCACGTGAGTGGCCGGGGCGGCGGGGACCCCGGGAAGGGAAAGGCGGGCGAGGCGCCGAGCTGCGCTGCCCTTCTCCTGCCCCGGGCCCCGCCAGGTCGACGCGCTCCGGGCCGCGCGGCGAGGGGAGGCCGGGGCTGCCGCGCGTCCTGCCTGTCTGCCGTCCCCCGCGCGGTCTGTCCCGGGGCCTGGTGCCGGGCCGCGTGTGCCCCGCCGGGGAGCCTCCGGGGAGGGATGTCCGGGGCGTAGGGCAGGGAGGCGCCCGGCGGCGGCGTCCGCAGCCCCGAGCTGAAGTTTGCCGAGTTCTTCGCTGCACGGCCGACTTTTCTTTCCCGGGCTGGCGGGCAGGAAACGAGGTCGTGGTTCCCGGCTTCTCCGGGGCGCCGTCCGTTTTCCAGGTCTTTTTGACTTGTTGGATTGCTCCGGGAGTCGAAAGCACTTGGCTGCCGATGGAATCGATTACTTTGGAGGGACTGCATCTCGGAACTTTTCCCTCTTCCTTTCTCCTTCCTAATCCTTCCTAATCCCCCTTCAGTGGTGGCCCCCGGGTAACTGGAGTTAGTCGAGGTCTTTTTAATCGGTTTCTTGACCGTACTCGGAGACCTGCAGCTTTTATTCTTTCTTTTTTTTTTTTTTTCCCAGGTCGGTTTTTTTCTGCTCACCATGTAGCTTGGGAGCACATGTTTTCCTGGAAATCTCTATGAGGGGCAAGGCCCCGTGATGGTTTTTGTTTGGGGGCCACACCCGGCTAGATGCAGGCTAACTCCTGGCACTATGCCCAGGCTAATCATTCATGACTGCGGGGGGCGGGGGGTGGCACTATTGGTGATGCTGGGGAGCGAACCCGGGTCCTCCGCATGCCAGTCCAGCGCCCTACCCGCTGTGCTAGCGCTGCGCCCTATCTCCCCACCACTCTGAGTTCTATAAGTGATTTGGGGATTGCTGATTTTTCCTGGGCATCAGAAACGTCCGGAGCCTTCTGAAAGTCGTCCTTCATGACAAATAGAGCGCCTTCTTTGCCTTGGTCCTGTATAGTCAAGTGCTTTCTGGAATAATGGCTTTGGAGGGAGTGGGCATGGCCCCTCTGATATAAATTTTAAAGCAGGTTTCATCGTATGGTTCATTTATATTGGGTGGGTGGGTGGGTGGGGAGGTAGGAAGACTGATTTAAATGGCATCCGTTTCTTGAGCCAAAAAAAAAAAGTCTCTCGAGCAATATCACGAATCTTTTATTTTTTCCAAAGATCGTGCCTCGTGATAATTATTTTAGACCCCGCCTGGGTGTGCATGCAGCGGGGAATGTTTCTGGGGTCTGTCCACCTGTGCCGGAAGGAGTGGCTCTCTTGAAATGCTGGTCAGCCACGCTCCCTTGAAGAGCATTCTGGGCTCTTCATTCGTTGGCAAAAGAACAATAAAGTAGGTATTTGGGGATGCACACTAGCTCCACCTTTGTCAGCCTCTGACACTAAAATGTCTGGTTCCTTCCCTTCCCGCCTCAGAGGTGGATTTCAGTCACTTGCTCTTTTTTTTCTGGTGTGGTGTGAATCCTTTTTTCTTCTTTTTTGCATTGTGAAACAGGTGGTGTTTGCCTTAAGGAAAACCCATAAGGGTGATTTTGTTTGAACTCTGAAATGCAGGTGTTGCATGAAGTAGATCATTGAAATCCTGTGACAAGACTTAAACGATTTTTGTTTGCTCTCTGCAAATTTGTGAAAAGCTTTTTAAGCTTAATAGTGCAGAGAGTTATTGTATCCTTTCCAGAGACAGTTCTAAATAAATATGGAATTTAAATTTTTCGGTTAATTACCGGATCTTTGTTTTATTTTCTTGGCATTTGGAAATGTCAAGTTTGAATTTAAAAAAAGAAAAATTGTGTTTCCCTCATTTCTTGGGTTGGTGCTGGTCGACAGTCCTTCCCCTCATTTCTCCAGTGGAGGTTGGTGATGATGGTCAGTCCTGTCAGTTTAGCCCTCACTCATGTGACTAATGGCTGTGAGGACAGACCAGTGCTGTGTGGATAGCAGTGGTCTCAGAAGTCTGTTTGAAAGCTCATAATGTAGAGCTCATCCCCTATAGCTCTGCATCAGATCTGAAGGTATCTGCAATGGAGTGGCCAGGTATCTTTAGGGATTTATCTCTCTCATTGTTTATTCACTTCTGTAGTAAATTTTTTTTTTTTTTTTTTTTTGCATTTTTGGGTTACACCCGGCGATGCACAGGGGTTACTCCTGGCTTTGCACTCAGGAATCACTCCTGGCAGTGCTCAGGGGACCATATGGGATGCTGGGAATCGAACCCGGGTCGGCCGCGTGCAAGGCAAACGCCCTACCCGCTGTGCTATCACTCCAGCCCCTCTGTAGTAAATTTTATGAACATCTTTTTCAAAGAGATGCAGGCATAGCTTTGAAACTCTAGTTTAAAAATATTCTTAGAAAGGTTTTTGGAGAATTTGCTTCTAGCCTCCAAAGAGAAACAGTCTCAGCATCGTATTCATTAAAAGTTCCTTGAGGACAAGAGCACAGGCTATGCATACTTGGAGACCCTGGTTTCTTCTAAAGTGCCCCCTGAGCACTGTGATGGGTGTATGACCTTTCAGTACCTGCCTTGGTATGGCCCGAGCACGAAAACTATAAATATAAGACCCCTTGAAATTATCTGAAGAGAATGTTTAAACAGGAAATAGTTTTAAAACATGTTTGGGGCCCAACGATAGCACAGTGGGGCATTGCTTTTGCCTTCCACACAGCAGACCTGGGAGTGATCCCCAGCATCTCCTGTGGTCCTCTGATCCCTGCTAGGAGTGATAGTAGAGCTCAGAGCCGGGAGTTGAGCCCTGAGCACTACCAGGCGTTGTCCCAAAACAGAAACATGCCCCCCTCCCAATATATTTTGGTTTTGCCATTAAATTGGATATTTTATAGGTTGGCAACTGTATTTCTGAACCTTGTGTTGAACTTTATTACTAAACACAGTAGGGATGTATTGCAGCTAAGTAATTACTGCAAGTAATAAAAAGTGTCCTTTTCAAAATTTGATTTACTTTTGGGGCCACAGACGGTGGTGCTCAGGTCTTAATGACACTGCACACAGGCATTACTCCTAGCTCCGAGGTTGGACCTGGTCAACCTGTGCAGAGCAAGCCATTGCCCTTGTCTTCTCTTTCCAGCCACCCCCCCCACCCCGTCCTCCCCCTACACACATTGTCGACATTTAAAAAATACTTTATGAAGTTGATAGGGAAATAAACTACCATATTAAAGGCTAGTTACTACATTGGTTCCTGATGTTATTGAATAGCACTGTCTCACATACATCCAGCCCTCCATCTGAAGAGAGAAGACGTTCACCGCCCCCTGGGTGGCCAGTTGCAGCCACTAAAATGACTTTAATAATAGTTGGCGTCCTTGACTTTTTACTTAAGCACCTCTGAGTTAATATTGCAAAGTGAGACATTCCCTCATTTTGATTTTAACACATTCTGATTTTATTTTTTTAATTTTTGGGCAATATACCCGGTGGTACTCAGGGCTTACTCCTGACTCTACACTTGGGGACCATTCCTGGCAGGCTCAGGGGATCATAGTGCTGGGGATCGAACTCCATTTAGCCTGTTGGAACACAAGCCCCCTACCCACTGTGCTATTGCTTCAGCCCCTGGACCAAAACATCCTTATGATGTATGAGCACTATAGCACTGTAGCACTATCCCCCCATTGTTCATCGGTTTTCTCGAGCGGGCCCAGTAACGTCTCCATCATGAGACTTATTGTTACTGTGTTTGGCATATCGAATACGCCACAGGGAGCTTGCCAGGCTCTGCTGTGTGGGCGAGATACTTTTAGGTAGCTTGCTGGGCTCTCTGAGAGGGGCGGAGGAATCGAACTCCGGTCCGCCGCGATACTTCTCTAATCTCACCCTGCTGCCTCACTCATGAGGATCTAGCCTTCTCATGACGTGCCCTTCAGTTTGGTGATCAAATGAAATGACTGTCTTGCAGTAGGAATGAGAACACAAGAGCACAAAAGGTCAGGTTGATTTCTTACTCAGTGGCCTTGTTCTATCCTGCTCTTGCATATATAGCACCATTGGGTGAATTTGAGTAGGATTCCTCTTGGCAGAAAGATTCAAAAAATCCTCCTGAATAGATGTGGGTATAAATAGTCCCATGGCATGGATCTTGGCTTGTCAGAGCAGAATTGAACTCCCATCTATTCCTCCTGCAGAGCAGTCTTGGCCCTGATGGTTAAGAATCCCTTTGCATTCCTCGGTTTTGAAGCCGTTCATTGCTGTTTCCAAATCAAACCAGGACTCTGAAATGTTTGTGTTTGGGCACAGTGGGAACAGATCAGTGAGTTCATCTTAGTGTCCCATCCAAGTTTGTCACAAGGGAGAGAAACATACCCAGATGATGAAAAGCACTTCACCTGAGCAGGAGGCACAAACCCATCTCTGAACGTTCTACACCAGGGTGGGAAATACCCTGTGTTGTATGGAAGCGAGGCAGATGCGCAGTTACTGCTGTTCAAGCAAACTGATAGATGAGATGACATCATTTTTTAGGAGAGAGAGAAGTTTGGGTAAATAGGTGTAGTATGGAGGAAGGGTCATTTCAAGTACCTGGGCTCAGGAAAAAATTAACGTTTCTCACTTTGCAAATGAAAAATGTTTGTCACGTTGATATCTGGTCTTCTTAGTAATTATGACAACATGATTCGCATTATTTATTAGCACATCTTGACAAATGTGAGTACATGCTGGCTTTTGTTAACTATCCAGTTGTTATTGATGGGGAGGGGGTAGGTTTACTTCTGTTTTTCATTCACAAGATAAGCCCTAACTGTTTTAATTTCATTTTAGATTATAGCATTTGATGAGCTGAAGACTGATTACAAGAATCCTATAGACCAGTGTAATACCCTGAATCCTGTAAGTTGTAAAATAGGACTTTCCTTTAGGCTTTTACATTGTTTTTGTTTTTATCTTGATATATTTTGAAAATAGCCAGTATTCTCCTTTGCATGATGTAACTGTACTTTTAGGCAGAATTTAAAAAAACAAAACAAAACTAAATATTCTTTTCCCTGTCATGCTTGACTATTCTTTTATTAATCTGCTGGTGATCTTGTCAGCTGTCAATACTAACATTCTTCCAATCTGCTTTTTACATTGTCGGCCAAAGACAGTTGAAAAGGTCAAAAAGATTAAAAGAGTCAAAATTGCATTAAAGGTGTGTACTGCTTTTTAGTTTAATGTTACCTTCATTTCATGGGGAGGGTCAGGGCATTTGTATCTGTAATGTTCTGTCCAGTGTGCTCACTCACATGCCTGTTGAGGTTTATGATTGTGTGAAACTTCATATCTTATGCTAATGTTGCTTGCTGGTCCAGTCAAGTAGGGAAAGCTGTTAAATGCTTATGCATTAAAATCAATGTTAATAGCCATAAGCATATCTGTATGAAATTTTTGAATGCAGTGTTGGAAAAGTGTTGGCTGTCTAACGTGGTATTAACATATGATAAGGTTATCCCCAGGTTGTGTCTTAATTCTGAGGTGGGGTATAAGCAGGAGTCTCAGGTCACATTGAGTTTTCTCTATGGTCATTCTAGTCCACAGAGCATTAACAGACTCTTTCAGTTGATGTTTATTCAAAGTCCTTTGGGTGGATAGCTCTGCTCTTAGACTCTGGAGTATTGGAGCAATGCTCACCTTTGTACTCAGGCTGCCAGGATTTTGTAGATAACAGTTTGTATACAATTATCTACGTAGTAGTTATTTCTAGTAAATATCTCCTCTAGGTTTCTGAAACAGATCCTATCTTAAGCCAAGTTGTGGGCTCTAGTGGCTTTGGATAAAATGGGGCTCTTTTTGGACTGAGAAGTTTTATTTGCTTCATTTACTTTTCTCATTTAGAAAGGTTCTCTTATAGCCTGTTGGTTTGATTTTTGCTTCATTGGTCAGAAACTGAAAGTTTGTGAGAAATTGGTGTGTCCTCAAGGAATAAGATGCTGTCATTCATCTTAAAAAAATTAGTTGTGTAAAATGATGATGTGTTAGTATGCTACTGGAGGGTTTGGTTTGGAAGATAATCTATAAGGTTAGTTTGCTGCTTTATCATTGTTTCCTAGATGAGTATGAATGATGAAATTGATTTCTAGTTTGTCATTAAAGGACGTTTGCAGCAAGACTTTTCATTGTACGTACAATGAAAAAATATTGGCTAAATAGCTCTTTATCTGCTTGTATTAAAATATGAGCTGAATCTGCTGTCTCATTGTAGGATAATGCTCATTATCAAACATCCTAACCGATAATTGAAACTAATTGTTACTATGAAATTAAGAAACTGAATTTCCCCTTTGACATTGTTTATTAATGGTAATCTGTCTTCTTTGACCTTTGATTACTTCAGATAACTAAATGATAAGAATAACAGTTGAGTTTAGATGAGGGCGTTCTTGGTTACCAGGTTCTCTGCTAAGCATATTTAGCTGGGTTTCTTCATTTAGTTCTCACAATACCCTTCAAGATTAGTACATGGTTATTGATGTGAATAGAAGAATAAACTGAGATTTAGGAAGATTAAATTAGTACTTTTTCCAGTGTTAACGGCTAAGCTGTAGCTAGAATTTGAATGCAGACAATCTGATTTTTTAGTTACATGTCTTGTAGTTTCCTAATTTATTGTAAATTTAAGATGGATTACTTTGAACATCTAATGTGTGATACCTGGTTTTTCTTGATTAAAGAATTTCTTAGACATGTACTTAGGACGTACTAATGTTGCAGCTGATTGGAAGGAAGTTTTTCTAACAATGCAGGTTGCATTTTGGAGAGGGTGCCGATGATTGACTTAGTAGCAATGCATCTGACAGTTTTCCCTATTTAAAATTTGTTTTAAGAACTCTGCCAAAGTATGGGGGAAACACAAATATTTTATAAAATGTAAATCTTAATTCAAGAATATTATGATTTGCATGTTTAAATACTAACATTTCAGCCATATTTGCATGAGGAGTTTTTTCCTAGATACCAGCTTTTGTGTCAACATTGGTTCTTTGTGGGACAATTTTTATGACATGTAAGAGGACATTTCCTCATTAAACAATGATCAGAGAGCTCTGGTTCTTATGAGAGATGCTGAATAAAAGTTTCTGTACTATTTTTGAGGAAAAGGGGAAGGAGGATATTGCATTTGTTTCTTAAAAAAGAACTGGTAGAATGACAGTTACCCATATTACCATTCTTATTAAAAGGAATTGCTGAAGAGCAGAAGGGACTGCTTTTCAAACTTGTTCTTATTCTATACATTATACTTGTAAGTGTAAGATTAAAACTTGGTATTTTGTATTGTTAGATATTATCTCAGCTTGAAAAGGACTGAAGTAGGCTTTTATTTCAAAGAAAAAGCCCTATAACTTAATGTAGTATTAGAGCAGTTCTAGTGGAGTATTGAGTAGTTCTAATGGAGATCCCAGTAAAATGTGTATCTTGATTTGTCCTGGTGGAATAATGATTGAGTGTCAAAGACTTCCTGTGGACATTATCTTGTGTAGAGATTGTGGATGTTTTACTTTGATCCTAAATAATTATGCTGGCTTAATTGTTCATGTTATTTATAAGTATGTGTGTATATATATATTTATATGCACATATATTTTTATATATGTATATAAACATATATTCCGAGACTATGTTTTGATTTTTATTATATTGTTTAAGTATGGAAAATATCTTGGTGGTATAGCTTAGTTGGTTTTACTGGGATTTCATTTAAAATAGTACTTATTAAATACTTCAGTCTACAGTTTTAAACTGAATACTAAGTAAAATGGAAGTGTTAGAAGATGGGCTTGAATATGTAGAATACTATTTCTAGAAATCATGGCTTTTCCTTACGAAAGATTTGATAATGTTGAATGACTTCATATCATTTTAATTTGGTATGATATAAACGTTTGAGAAACTGGCTTTGAAGCTGTGCCTTGTAGAAAGTTGTTTGGCTGAAAGTTGAATTTACATTTTTATTTAATAAAGTAGATTATACTGAAGTAAAATAAAAAAGAGAATTTAAAAGAAAGCATCAACTCTTGGTCATTTTATAAAAAAATATTTTGCTTGAATTTCCATTTAGCACTCTCTGCTATCAAAAGATTTGTTTTTTAATTTCTGAGCCTCTGCTGATTCTCCATGTTTATTAGTTTTTTATTGGACAACAATGGGCTTAAAAAATCCAGGAAGGCCATGTAAGAATGGAGTTTAGCACTTGTTTAGTATTTTTTTTCCCTCCTACATTGCAGAAAGCACCTTGTTTGCATCTATGCATAGTAGTGTTTTTTCCCCCTGACTGTGCTGAAATTACTGACTGTTGGCTTTTTATTGAAAATTACTTTTGTGATGTGATGTGGTTTGCGAATATATGTAACAGTCCAGGTTTCTGTTAAAGGCTTAAAAACACCAGTGTGTGTATACCAACAAAGGGGAGTTTTGTGATTTTTTTTTTTTTTTTGGAAAAAAATATGTTGCATGTGATCAGATACTTTATTTTGTACTTTTTATCATTGTGGGAATGGTGGGAAGAAAAAGTTTCTAGGTGATCAGCAAAATAACTGAATAATCTGGGTGGTAACTTTGTATCGCTGCTTTTATGAATTTCTGTTTTAAATTTGAAGTTATATCTAATTCGCTCAGTGCAAGCTATAGTCTTTGGTCAGTTTGCTTGTAATCTAAGTTTTGGTATAAAGTTGAACTTGAAAATAAAACACATTTCATCTCTGATCCTAAGAATCATTGATTTATTTTTTTCATTTTGAAAACTTGGTTGCCACCGGCTTTCCAAATTAGCAGCTGACTTCTTCGCAAGCAAGGCATTTTCATAACAGGCTTGTGTTTTTCTTTCAGCTCGTACTGCCAGAGTACCTCATCCATGCTTTCTTCTGTGTCATGTTTCTTTGTGCAGCAGAATGGCTGACACTGGCTCTCAATATGCCCCTCTTGGCGTATCACATTTGGAGGTAATACTTAGATCTGCTTCTAATATGTTACCTAGTTACAGTTTAATCATACTGTGGTTGATACAGTTATTACCTGCTAGTTACCAAAATTAAACAGGAAAAATTAGGTGGCTTTAATTTTCTAAAGTCATGTCAATGAATTGTAACTGTTGTGATTTCTCTTACAATGTTTAGTATCCTTTTAAGGATTTTTTTTTAAGGGGCTCTAACTTATTTCCTACAATATATGCAAGGTGGAAACGTCCAGCTCATCCCTGTGCATGTCTGTGTACCCTATGAAACCACTGCAACCCCCAGCTCAGCTGGCCCCAGGAGTCCCTGGGTCTCTCTTAGTCAGTCACCCCCATACCTCTTACGGACTGCTGACTACTATCAACTGGTATTTGTTTTGCCTGTTTGGACTTTCTACAAATCAAAAACTGCACATTAGAGTAGGCAGAATTAAAAATACTAGGGGCAGGAGAGAGAAGACAGTGGGTGAGTCCCTTGCTTTGCGCTGCATTGACCTTGTTTGATCCCCTGCTGCCATGAATGGTTCCCTACACCCTTCCAGGAGAGATCCTCACGTCAGCACCAGGAGTAAGTTCTGGCCACTGCCAGGTTGACCCCAAATCGCCCCTTCCTCCCCCAAATAATAAAAATACTGGCATACTGAGGTAGCTGATGGTGAGAATGTAAGATGTCACTGAAATGTAGATTATTTGGTCCTATCTTAATAGAAATCTGTCCCATATGTTGCAGCTCTTCTAGTTCTCACAATCTATGAAGGTTTATACACAGTTATTCATGCTGTTTATTCATAGCACCGAATTGGAATGAAGCCAAATATATAAGGCCTTCATAAACAAAACACAATAAAACCTAACAGTGGGAAATTATTCAGTATTAAAATGGAACAGATTATAAAACATTAATCTCAAAATCAGGGTGCTGTGTAAAAGAAATTATACACTGTAGAATTCATATTTACTTTATAGAAAAATCTTCAGGGCCAGAGAATGCTGGGTGTGGCCCAGAAAAACTAAAAGTAAAAAAATACATATACGCTGGGGTGTGTGCTGGGTCACACCCAGCACGCCCCAGGTTCTGCACTCAGTAATTTCTCTGGGCAGTGCTTGGGGAACCATATAGGGTGCTGGGGATGGAACCTGGGTCGGCCGCATGCAAGGCAAATGCCCTACCCGCTGTACTATTGCTCTGACCCCCGAAAAAATTTTAAAATGGAAACCAACTGGTGCCAGAAAGATAGTACGGGGGGTCAAGGCTCTTGGTTTGCACATTCCTGATTTGATCCCTTGCACTGCATTTGGTCCCCCAGCACCTCCAGGAGTAATCCCTGAGCATTGCTGGGTTTGCTGTTTCTCCCTGCTACATTCCTCCCTGCCTTCACACACAAAACAGAAACAGAAGGATGCTAATTAAAACAGTTGGTGGTTCCCCATGGGCCAGGAGATATAGGAGGTAGTCTCAGGCAGGAAATGGTAAAACTTACAAACCACAAGATATAATTCCTTCAGAAAAAAAAAAAGATTTTATTTTAAAGTTTTTAGTCATACCTGGCAGTGCTCTGGGGACCATACAAGGCTGGGGATTGAACCCATAAGCAAAGCATGCCCATGCAGCTACCTCCCACCCCTGGAGGATGATTCTTAGGTTGGTGGTTTCGCAGTGATAGACATTTGACACAGCCCATCAGAACCTATGCTTTAAATGCATGAATTATTGTAAGTAAATTATGACAATAAAGTTGATATAAAAATAAAAAACCCAACAGAATGTTTGCCTAACTTCTTTTTTCCGTATTTGTCATTTTAGATTTGTTTGTTGTAGGTGGGGAATGTGGCTCAGTGGTTGAGCTCTTGCTGTGTATGTGGCCCTGGGCTCAATCCCCAGTGTTATAAAAACAATACAATCTAAAACTAAGTTGGTTACTTATCAAGATGTTAGCATTTAATAACGTTTAAAAGTTCATTCAGAGTGTTTAAAATAGGTATGACCAAATCTTATTACCCTTGATTTTAGGAAATATATTTATGAAGTATGTTATTTAGAGAGAATGAGAAAGAAAAAGTCATGATGAGTGTTAATATGGGTATTTGGAATTCTGTAAATCTGAAATTATGTCAGAATAACAAGTTAAAAGGCTACACTCTTAATTCCCTTTCAGGTATTCCTATTAGAGATAAAATGTAACTTGCTTAGCTGTCCCTCTCATTTATGGACTCCAGTTTTAGCTGTCTGCCTATGTATTGTGGGGACCCCACCCAGCGGTGCCTGGACTTGAACTCAGGATCTCATTTATTTGTGTTTCATGTGGATAGGGCATGTGCTCTCTACCATTTGAATGAATCACATTCTGGGCCCAGGGCTCTAGTTTTTAAAATTAAGCTGATAAGAGAAAAGAACTAAAGGTATGCTTCCTTATGGGGATCATCTTGCAACAAGGTAACAAATGTCATTGAGGAAGAAACATCCTTCCCATCCTATTGGTCTGCTTCCTTTTCTGAGTGGGTAATAGTCTGTTTTTATTGCAGGTATATGAGTAGGCCAGTGATGAGTGGCCCAGGACTCTATGACCCAACAACCATCATGAATGCAGATATTCTAGCATATTGTCAGAAAGAAGGATGGTGCAAATTAGCTTTTTACCTTCTAGCATTTTTTTACTACCTATACGGGTAAGTCTTGAAAAAAAAAAAAAAGGAAAATTAAAGTATAATTTCACTTGTAGGCATTATGGTGCTAACACCTGGAGAATTACTCTTTGTTACTGGTAACTGCACCCCAGAAAATTCCCATGGGCTTGCTACAGATGCACTGGACTTGTCAAGGTACGGTTGGAGGCAGGAATTTGGTCAGAGATTCCATTTTCTTCATGTTCAGATAGTCAGCAAAGCACCATCCTCATTCTCTGTGGCCCAGTGATGGCACTGGGTGAGCCTGCAAAATGCTTTTAGCCTGTCTTGAGATTATGTTTAATTTTTTTTTTAATCATTCTTCATAAACTGCTTGTGCTGCTCTTATTTTCTGGTTTGCTTGCTCCAGATGGGACGAAGGAAGAAAGCAGCTCTATTTATAGGATGGTGCAATTTTGCCATTTCTCTCTTTAATATAAGCCAGGATAGATAGATTCTGTCACTGTCCTCTGGGCCCTGGCATTGTTGATGTGTGGTACCCTATGTATTGTAGGGTGTCTTAACAGTATGTATCCCTCACCCCTGCCTACTAGCTGCCCACAGCATCTCTCTCTACCTTACATTCAGCAGCCAGAAAACCTCTGGATACTGCCAAGTGCCCGCTAAAGTAGAATTGAGCTCCACTGAGAGACAGCTTCGGCTGGACATAGAAATGGTTGCTGATTAAAATTTGAGAAGGATGCTGTTAGGGTTGAAATAACTTTCCTTTGAGCTTACAAGTTTTGTTTTCATTATTTATTGGGATTCTATTCAGTCACAGGGCTTTCCCCCTGATTTTCAAAATGTGAGGAAAATGATATGTATGAGAGGAAGTAATTGTGAGCTAGAGTAATAGAACAGCAGGTAGGGCATTTGCAAAAAGGGGAAGTAATTTTAATGACTAGCTTCCATTCTTTTTTCTGTTACTGGTTGGTTTATTATACTTTCACTCCACATTCCCTTTCTCTTTGCTTCATGTTAGAGGTTATAATTGTGAAAATAAGTCTCCTTTACTGCATTTATAGATGTTGTTTTTACCTGAAAGAGAGCACATAATTCTGAAAAGTGAAATTCTGTGTCATTCTAATTTCTTTTTTAATTTCATTTTTTTCAACTGGTGACAAGTATCTGAAGTAGTGCAGACATACAGTTGGCATTTGTAACGGGCCTGTTGAAAGAACGGATGGTTTGCCTCTCTAAGACATAGACACATGTACTTGTGGAGGCATGTTCTCCAGGACATGGGCCCCTGGGATATGTTAAACTTGCCTGGTGAATGTGCTCACATTTTAGCTTGGTGTTTTTACTTCAACTTAGAAGTTTTTCTCTGCCTTTTCCATGGTGCTTTTTCTGCCAACTTGACCTCAGCAGTCCTTTAGCCTAAATCTGATTGTTTTTTATTTCACTCACTTGTCCCCTATGATGGGAAAACTTTGTAGTTTAGTTGGGTATTCCCCATTAGTCACGTGAGAATAGCGGCGCCCAATTGTGAGGACTGCTTGGAGAATTCAGTGAGGTCTTGTCTAGAAAGACCCTAATGGGCGCTATCCTGAGCATCTCTCTTGGGATACAGGATGGTTCTTGGGGCTCTGGTTCCCTCTGAGCTTGCACTTGTGTTTGTCTGCTTGCCAAGATTGGAAGGAATTAGGAGACAGCACTCGCATGTCCCCTGAGCCAGGTCTTCCTGTAGGCAGAGGTCCATAAATGCAAATTAAAATCATGCCATGAACTTTATTGACCTTTGCTTTTTCTCTTTGTAATTGTGTCTTACCACAAATTAGTTTGTTCTATCAATCAGACTTGACTTTTCAATGTTCTTATTTTTTCTAATTAGGAACATTCAAATTAACAGCTTTTTTTTTTTCCTTTTTCAGCATGATTTATGTTTTGGTGAGCTCTTAGAACAACACACAGAAGAATTGGTCCAGTTCAGTGCATGCAAAAAGCCACCAAATGGAGGGACTCTACCAGCGAGATCCTGTTTCCAAGAATAGCCTATGGAATCTGATCAGTTACTTAAAAAAAAAATGACTCCTTATTTTTTAAATGTTTCCACATTTTTTGCCTGTGGAAAGACTGTTTTCATATGTTATACTTGGGTAAAGAATTTAAATGGAATTACGTATAAATTAATATAAAATGATTACCTCTAGTGTTGACAGGTTTGAACTTGCACTCCTTAAGGAACAGCCGATAATCCCCTGAATGACTGCATTAATTATTGACTGCCCTTAGTCCATTGGAAGCTTTTGTTTATAGGAACTGTTAGGGTTCATTTTGGTTTTATTGAAATGCTATCTAATTATAAATTAGCAGTAGACACCAGGTGCTTCTGATGAACTGAAAATATATATCTGACCTGTGGGAAACTTCATAGGTTTCCTCATCTATCATGTAGATGATTATATATGGACACATTTATAAAAATTAGAGGGGGATTTTCCCCCCCTTTGACTTGAATATTACTCCTGTATATTGCATGAATGAGAGAGATTTCTCATATTTCCATCAGAGTAATATACTTGCTTCAGTTCTTAAGCATAAATGAATAAGATACAAAAATACTTGCTGAATTACTTGTAAAGAATGCATTTAAAGCTATTTTAAATGTGTTTTAATTTGTAAGATAATTACTTAAATTGGTTACTATACTGTTATACTGTTCTAACTGGTGGTAAAGGTAGTCTTAAGAATTTGCAAGTACTTTAGATTTTCAAAACTGAATTAGAGAGAACATTGTATAACCATCCTGCTGTTCCTTTAGTGCAATACAATAAAACTCTGAAATTAAGACTTATTTTTGGTGCATTGTTTTGAAGATTACAAATAGCTATTTCTAAAACTTGCTCAATTCATAATAAAGATGTGTTATTATACTTTTAAAGAAAGATAGTGGAGTATTATGTTGTGGTTTTGTTTCTTAAATGCCATACTTGAATCTAAAGGGAGGATTTTAGATGTCTGTACCACCATATTGCCAACTTGACAAGGCTTCTGGGACTTTGGCATCATTTTTTGTACCAATTTAAAAAAAATCAAAATGTTGGCACTCAAAATGTTAATTTTTTTAAAGGACAGCAGGGTTAAAGTAAAATAACTTGTTCATTTGTGTGAGGTTTTGCTCCTCTGGTGAGGTAGTAAATTGTGGCTTGCATGCATTCATAAGCATTCTTGTGCCCTCTTTGGAATGAGGACTTTGAACAGAGGATCAAAGAAAACCTCCTAGTGATCAAGGGAGTTGATGAAGGTGTTTGTGGAGAAGTCTGACTCCTTGAATTAGATGTTTTACTCTCAATGAGTAAAAAATGTTCCCTCACCTTTGTGGTGAGTAGCTGTTAACAGTTTTGGAAGTCAATGAGTGGGGGGTCAATGAATGGGGTGAGTCTGTTAAAGACAGGGATATAGAAGCAGAAGAGAGAGAAGACAAACCATTTCTTGAGCGGAACTATGAAAACCTTGTACTTTATAGTTTGGAGAATAATTCTCCAGGGATGAGATTGTTGTCAGTGCGTGTAATTATTTACAAGCACTTACTAGGCCCTGAAAAATTATGCTCTTAAGAAAGAGCTATGATTTATTTGTAAACTGACTAATTAATGTAGCGTCTAATTAAAGCAGAACACAAAACTCATTTTTTTTTTCTTTCTGGGTTCACAAGTAGTTTTGATCCCAAGACTCTGACCAAACGGATGAAGTCTTTCATATTCCAGATAAGTTCCTTGTTGGCTGTTTAAGCTATTTTAACAAGCTCTTGCTTGCTCCTTTTAATAAGGTATTCCAGAATATTCTCCAGGATCAGTTCAAGGTTACTGGTTGAAGTTAGTGTGAACCAAGTTCTCATGATTCAAAAATTAGATTTGTCATAGTTGATTCCTCGTAGGTAATTGACAGTGAATTTGGCCATCTCAGAGGTGGTTTGTAGTTGATTGGCAGATCAGTGATCAGAGTGCTTGGATGGTCTTATAACATCTATCCACCTTTCCCTTAATGACTGTTTGATGAAATTAAAGAGAAAGCAGTAATAAAATGTTTGGACTTGACAATCGCTCACTGGCTCTTTACATTGCTCTGAATTTAATTTGTGCTGTTTTGCCCCCACCCACCACTTGCACCTAATGTCCTGGGCAGTTGTAGCTGGATTATTCCTGCAGGTGCAGCTCAGGCATCGTTAGCCTGCTGTGTCATCCTTTGCAGTTTGTCAGACTGCTCCCTGTTGTATCAGCAGCTGTTCACATACTCCACCCAAAGATTTGACACGTGCTTTGATGTATCTTTAGGAGCTTTTCAAATCTCAGAAACCAATAGTATAACATACTATGGCTATTATCTATACCAACAGATCATTATTGCTATGAGAACTATAGTTTCTCTGAGCTACACAGCTTATATAATACTTGGAGTTTATTTTGTGGTTATTCTGTCAATAATACTTTATCATAGTTGTGTCTTTGTTTTAAGGAGGTGTTGATAAATAATTAGTTGAATACCTGTATCTGAATTTATTAATGATGTTCACAGTGCTTTACTGATGATCCCCACTTCCTGTCTTAGAGAATTGCATTCCAGTGTACAGACAAATTGCTTATTTGTTTGAACTTAGGATCATTTTTCATTGGAAAGGGGAGAGCTAGGAAATGATCAGACAATCCACTTTTGACATGTATTGGGTATCACTAAGGCATTTGGATGACTCATGGTACATACCAGTGGTTTTCAGCCTTATTAAGCCTTCAGAGTGGTGCTGTTGATTAAAAACCACTGGTGTGGACACTAAGCTGCCAGACCAAGTTCAGGACCCAGATGGTGGGTCCTGTACTCATAAAGCAGAGTACATGATAGCTTGCCATGTGTCTCTTAAAGTCTGCCCAGTACTTTTCAGCTTGTGGACTACTTAATACTAATTGCTTTCCTAAAATGTCACGTATTTTCATAGAAAGGAAAGTAGAAACACTTTGAAACTAGCGAAACTATCTTCTTTAGTCCAATATTCTTTTCTTCTAGTTACTGATAGTGTTCATACGTATTGCAACATGCAAATAATGATTTGTGTATATGATACACCTTGCACAGGTGGACCTTTGGTTTTGGTGTGGTTACATCATAGCATTGTAATTTATTAAAACCCAATCAGATAATGATTTGTAATTAAAAGTATACATCTAGTTTTCTGAACATTTTATCTTTACAGGGGAAAATAAAAAAACATCTTTTCTAGCATTGTTCATTAAAGTACCCATATTCATCCTTTTGGGAAATTAGAACTAATAACTGGAACTAAGACCAGCAGGTTGAATCTTAGATACTAATGCAACTCAGAAGATGATTTTGAAGTAACTGCAGTGATGCCAAAAGAAAACCTTTTTCTGTTTATCATGTTGAATGGTTTTCTTTAGAACAATTTAAATTTGATTAAAATTAGGAGCGGAGTTCTAAAGCTGTATTTTAAGAGTGATTTCTACTTGTTTTTGGAAAATAGTATAAACTGCTAGGTGTTGGTCTGTGTAATTGGAGTAAAGATTCTATCTTCCATTAATTTTATGAATATATACCGTGGGAGTGAAGATAGAGAACATCTTGGCATGCAAAAGAATAAATTTACTGTACAGTGCTTTTTCTAGATTTACATTTCTTTGGTTACTGTGTTCATGTGTTTTGAAGGAAACTACCTTAAATAATAAGGTTGATGATCAGATAGATGCTCAAACTAACGAGAAACAAAGAAAACAGTCAGCTTGTGGTTGGTTGAAATCTAAGTTAACTTTAATGATGCTGTACTACATTGTCCAAAAAAAATGTCCTTGAACAGTGCTATCCTCTTAGCGTTTGTTCACTTTATTTTGCTTTTAAAGATTTAATAAAATACGTCTTCAGTGTTTTCTTTGTGTAGTTCGGGTAATGACTGAGTCTGTGCTGATTCCATTTCAGCTCTAACTGGCCTGTGTATGACCTGGATTCTAGACCAGTGGTCTTCAACAATTTTCCAACTATGACCTTCCAACCTTGGGTTCCTTCCTCAGCTTCCCTGTCCTACTCTCCCCCTTTTCATGCCTCCTGTTATGTGATTCCTTGGTATATCTTGGGTGCCCACCAGAGAGCATGACCTGAATTGAGAAATGTTGCTGTATACTGCTGCTGCCTCTCCAGCCCCCATTGCTTTGGGACCTGTCTCAGAAAACAAACCTGCAAGATTGTTCAAATTACATGTTATTAAACTCAAATGCACCAGTATGTAGCCATTGTAGCACTGTCCTCCTGTTCATTGATTTGCTTGAGCGAGCACCAGTAACATCTCCATTGTGAGACTTGTTACTGTTTTTTGGCACATCAATATGCCACAGGGAGCTTGCCAGGCTCTGCTGTGTAGGCCGGATACTCTTGGTAGCTTGCCGGGCTCTCCGAGAAGGATGGAGGAATCGAACCCTGGTCAGCCGTGTGCAAGGCTAGCACCCTACCCTCTGTGCTATTGCTCCAGCCCTTGGACTAGTATATTTGATTAGTACTATCCCATGTTCTTGTTATGAAATAATTCATGTTTTTCCTGTATTTATTATTAAGTAGTTTAATTTGGTATTTTAAATGTGGAAAGCTTAGCTAGCACTTCTGGTGGAAATTGAGAGATACATGCACTTGGAAAATTTATTTTGGGGGTGGGATTTGGGCCACACCCTGTAATTCTTAGGGCTTACTCCTGGTTCTGTGCTCAAGGGGCCATAGATTGCCAGAAATTGAACTGGGGCCAGCTGTGTGTAAGGCAGGTGTCTTACCCCATTGTATTATCTCTTTGGCCTGGAAAATTCAATTTTTTTTTTCTTTTTGAGTCACACCTGGCGATGCACAGGGGTTACTCTTGGCTCTGCACTCAGGAATTACTCCTGGCGGTGCTCAGGGGACCATATGGGATGCTGGGAATCGAACCCGGGTCGGCCGCATGCAAGGCAAACGCCCTACCCGCTGTGCTATCACTCCAGCCCCACTTCTTCCACTTTTAAGTGTTCATAAAAAAGCTCCAAATTTTTTGACATAAAATTTCATTGATTTACCATTGGTTTATGAAACTGAAATTTTGGGAGTACATCTCTCTCCTACCAACAAAGTTCTAGTGCCATCACTGTCAGAATAACCCTCCAGCCCTTTCTTTCCTCTGGAAACCTTAACTATGGTTCTCCGAGTCTAAGAATTACTTTATTATTTTGGCGGTGTGAGGGAAGCACAGGGCTCCATACTGGCTTGTGGTGTTGAGCTACATCTCTGCCTCTTAAGATTTTGTTTTTGTCCTGTTTACTCTGGTTATTAATGTACGTAGAGGTGAAACACTGGTGACTGTCTAACTTTCACCTTAGCATTAGCACCTCAGTATTTATTCATGTTGCGAAAGGCCTAACTTTACAATAGCTGAGTAGTATTTGAATATATGCATTTGAGCACGTGCTAGTGGGGACTTAGGTTGATTCCCTTCTTTGGCTATTGTGAATAATACTGCTATGAGGATAGGAGTGCAAACACTTTTTGGGGGGATGAGAAGGAGGTTCAAATAGTGCTACTTGGGGGCTTCTCCCAGCTCTGTCCTTAGGACTTATTTCTGGCAGTACTCGAGGGACCAAATGGTGCTGGGGATTGAACCCAGTCCTCTTGTGCGCAAAGCATGGCCTCAACCCTTTGGGCTCTCTCTCCAATCCAGGCGTGCAAGTACTCGAGTTAGGGTTTCATACTCTATGGCTCACTGCCTAGGAGTGTTATTGTGGGATCATAAGGTATTTGGGTTGACCTGCCACCCCCACCTTTTCCTTTGTTGGTTCTGATGACAGGGGTGCTGCACACACTCGGTGTGGAGCTCATGTGATGCTCGCCTGGGTCGCATACTTGATTGCCCTGTGTTGCAGTGCACTTAGTTGCAGTGCTTTCCTGGAGCCTTCCACTGGGATCTCAAACAGTTAGGATCACATCTGGGAATGTGAGGTGCTGTTGGGGACCAAGCGTGAGGCATCACTGGCCTCATAATTTGCTTAGCTATCCCCACCCCATTTTATTATTTTTTTCATCTTGTGGGGGGTTTGGGCTATACCTGGCAGTTTTCAGGAGCTATACCTGGCAGTATTCAGGACCTATTCCTGCCTCTGTGCTCAGGAATGTGCTCTAGTGTTCAGAGGACCACATGAAGTACTGAGCATCTCTGTGGGGCTATCTGCAGGCAAAGCGAGTGTGTTAGCCCCTGTAGAGACTAATGAAGTCACTGGTCCCATTTTTCCCTTTTTTTTTTTCTTTTTAAAGGAATCTCCATATCAGTCTCCATAATCTGTTCCAATTTACATTCTCACCAGCAGTGAGATTTTTTTCCCCTCTTTATACCAGTGCCCACAATTGTTGATTCTAGTTTTTTGAGTTTATTCTTTGAGGTTAGAGATGATTATCTCCTTGTGATTTGTATTTGCATTTCCATGGTAATAACTAAAGTTAAGTGTGGTATTTTTGTCAAATGCCTGTGGACCATCTGTGTGTGTTCTTTGGACAAGTGCTATTCAGATCTTTTGTCTTTTTTTTTTTGTTTACTCTTTCATCATTTGTTTATTCTGGATGTTAATCATCTAATATATGGATGATGTGTAAATATCTTCACCCAACTAGCAGGTTGATTAGTTTGTTATTTTTGGTGGTGCCGGGAATTGGGTGTACAAGTTCAATGTACAATCCAATGGGGCAAGTTCAATGTAAAGTGAAATGCTTTACTGCCGAGCTATATCCTCATCCCCTTTTTGCTTTGTTTTCTGTTAGTTTTGGGGAGATCTCCTAGGCGGTGCAAGGGTCTACCAGAATTATACCCTACTGGTATTAGGAAGGCCCTATAGTGGCAGAGATCAAATGCAGGGCCCTGTGCATGACAGTGTTCACTTGCTCTCTGAGCTGTCTCCCTGGCCCTTTCTTATCCTGTAAAAAAAATTTTTTTTTAAATTTAATATGTAATAACTTAAAACTTTTGTTTCCTTTGTTGTTTCAGCTGAGTCTTCAAACATTATCTCAGAGATTTAAGTTCAGGACAGAAAGAAAACATTGTTTTATTAAGTCTTCTATCCAAGTTAACTTTGGTGTATGGTGTTATTGATCTAATTTTCTCCCGTATTTCTTTCTTTTCCTCATTCTTTCAGTTTTGTCCCTTTTCTCTATCCTCTTGCCTGCCCCCTTTTCACGTGGCTGACCAATTTTCCCAGCACCATTCTCCCTTTTCTCTTAGGATTGTTTTAGTTATTGACCCTTCGTATTTTCACTCAGAGTTAGGAATTTTTTTGTTCCTTTTCCTTGGAAATTGTCGCTGTGTAATAGAAATTGTACATACTATCTTTCCATTTTTTTCTGTGCTATAGCTCTAGCCCCTAAGTTATCATTTTATATTAGAATACCACTGATTTTTTTTTATCTGAAGTTCCCAAGTAGCACTGGTATGTTTCAAAGTATTCTTTGATGACTTTTCAAGTAGTTCATCAGTTGCAAGAAGAGTGTGAGACAGAATAACCACCTTTGGTAATGATAAGATTATTTGAAAGCTATGCTTTAATGTGGCACAGTGCCTCTGAGTCTGTGGTGGTGGACAGTCAGATGACCAGTTTTGACATGTGTGATTGCTAGCAGTTGGGGCAGCCCCGGATGCCTGTGAGTGACACGGGAACCACTGATGTCTATTCGAACAGGAAATTCTGACTCTTCATGTGATTCTTGTCTACAGATCAGAAGACTGCTTTTGGTAGCTCTTTGCTTGAAGTTAAAGGCAGAAAATTGTAAAGTAACAGGAGAGGTAGAGAGACTTGGACATTGTTAATCTCTACATAGATGCTTTTTAATATGGAAGGCACTACATTTTCCCTGGGCAGTTCCTAGTGTGAAGAAAGTACTCTAAAAATAGCAGCAGCTGCCTGAACCCGTGAATTCCTTGTCTCTGAGTTCCAAGTAATGCTGGGAAAACACCTGTTAGGGAGGATCTAGTATGATAAAATTTGGAGGAATCAAGAGTAAAGCTACTTAAAACACTTTTATCTTGGACACTCCCCCACCCCTCCTTTTTTTTTTAAGTCAAAGTTTGAGCCCGGGGACTCTCACACAAGGCAAGACAGGTGTTCCCCAACTGAGTGACCCGTGCCGCTGTCTGGACCAACTTAGACTTTTATTTATTTAAGTTTTTGGATCATACCAGGCAGTGCTTCCTCCTGTTGAAGCTCCAGGGACCATATGCGGTGCTAGGGATGGAACCTGTCCCCCACGCCTGCTCCCCATCCCTACCTCCAAAGTCAGCCATATGCAAAGCAAAGGCCCTACCCAGTGTGCTGTCTCTCCAGCCCTCTAGTATTTTTAAAAAATTATTATTATTATTATTTATTTTTGTTTAGGGGCCATATGGCTGTACTCAGGGCTTCCTGTTGCCTCTCCCTCGGGATAACTCCTGATGGACTAGGTGAACCAGATGGGGTGCCAGGATTGAACATGGATCTATCACATGCAAGGCAAGTGCCCTACCTGTTAGACTATCTCTCTGGCCCATCTGTGCCAATTTTTATTTTTATTACCATGTCATGTCACCTAGTAGTTTTTATAAAGAGTAAAATAGGAAAATCTTAGCAAATGATAACATGCAACCATGTTTTTCATATGGTTGTTTCAGCATTACTTTCAGGAAAAATATACCAGAGCAATCAGAACCATTGAAAATGGGAAACTTAAGAAATTTTTCTTTCTTCCTAAACACAGATAAAAGAGACACAGTAAAATCTGTCAATAAAAATTTTAGGAATGTCTGCACAAATACACGCATATTCAAGTTGATAACAGTTGTTTCAATATAAATTATGCTAGAAAATTTTTAAATTTCAGGTATTGCCATATTTGACTTTTTTTTTTTATCTAGATACAGATCTTGATAGTGAATCTCTTGATGATAGATGTGCAGCTAATTTTTCCCGGAATTCATGGAGGTAATTATATTGCTGAAAAAAGTAAAGACAAATTGAAATACACTGTAAAAAACAAGTTACTAGAGAATAGTTAAAGTACTAGTAGGAGTAGGGCTGGAGCGATAGCATAGTGGGTAGGGTGTTTGCCTTGCACGCAGCCACCCTGGCTGACCCGGGTTCGATTCCTCTACCCCTCTTGGAGAAGCCCGGCAAGCTACCGAAAGTATCTCACCCCCACGGCAAAGCCTGGCAAGCTCCCTGTGACATATTTGATATGCCAAACACAGTAAAAACAAGTCTCACAATGAAGACGTTACTGGGCCCGCTTGAGCAAATCAATGAAAAACAGGAGGACAGTGCTACTAGTACAAGTCAAGAATATTTGTGAAGAATAGTTTCATATCCCTTTGGATGAAGAAGCATTTGCCTATGAAGTTTTATCTTTCATTAAAGTTGCACAGTGTGGAAATTTTTCTTTAAAAAAAAGTCCTTGACAAACAAGAGTACATGAAATATCGATGAATATTTTATAAATCATAAAATACTCTTTTTACAGGCAGGAGCAAATAACATTAAAAATAGTACATGAAAGCATATTTTTTGCAATCTGCTTTTCCTTGGGGGGTTAAGCAGGGAATAGAGGGCATTTTCTTCAGTAATCATGGTGATATAGTCAAGAAAATCTATTTCTTAGTTTAGAAAAGTGTCATTTTACTGCTTTTTTGTTGACATAATTGAAACAATTTTAATAGACAATATTTAAAAAATTATCTAATCTTAACAGATAAGCCCCTCAATAAAAGCTATACAATACATAATTTGGAGTTTTAATACTTTCCCTGAAGAGTGAGGATACTCTATCAATCTCAATTCATTTATGAGAAGCTGAAATTGCACAGACCTTCAGGAGCACTGAGATGGGAAAGCCTGTTTCCCACCCAAGGACCGATTGATAACTTGTCAGCCTGTTTTAATAGGTACACAAATACACACAATGTTTGAACATCTTGTTTCACAGAGAGACTTGAGAATAATCTGAAGCATCACTTGATTTTAAGAGGTAATGTGGGTTGTTCTCTGTTTTAAGATGGTAAACAGTAAAGTGGTTCCGGTGTGGGTTGTGAGAATGACCTTACAGAAACTTTGAGAATAAGGCTGCCTGGGGAGTTTCAGTTACTTGAATAATTCACATACATAATGCCTGGTTAGATTCCTTATTTGGGGAGAATTTTTTTGTGTTTTCTTCTTGACTTAGTCCTAGCGCTGGAGATTGGATATTTGAGAAATGAAAGTAAATTAATTACCTTTATCGATTAAAACTAAAATGAAACTTGCAGAGTTTTTTCAGTAGCATGATTAATATATAACATTTTGGGGGCATTGCTACTGCAGTATTTTAGGGGCAGTAAAGTAAATTTGCACTAATTTAAGTGCATTAAAGTAAATGAGATTATCACTGTAAAGGTCAGTTAGCATTTCTTTACATTTTCTTCTCTTTTTTTGGGGGCATTGGGTATATTTATTAAATGCTTTGGGGGCATAGTGGGATCTTCATTAGGTCTTTCTTATTTTTTAAAAAAAAATCAATGTAAGACACTACTAGGTTTATTTTTCACAGAGAGAGGATCTCTTTCTATAGCTAAATGGACAAAACCCAAACTGTAGTAGGTACTGCAAGAGTAAATGCTGTTGGTAGGATTGCCATCTGTTTTAACCTCTGTGGAAATCAGTATGGAGACGTCTCAAAACAAAACAAAACAAGAAATGGAACTACCATATGACCCAGTGATTTCACTCCTTGGCATCGATCCCAAGAACACAAAAACATGAACTGAAAAAGAGATTTGCACACACATGTTCACTGCAGCCCTATTTACAATAGCTGAGATCTGGAAACAACCCAAATGCCCGGAGACTAATGATGGATAATGAAATTGTGTTCTGTAAACACAATGGAACACTGCCCAGCTATAAGAAAAGACAAAAACCTACCTTTTCCTACAACTTGGGTGGAACTAGAGGGTATCATGGCAAGTGAAATAGCCAGAGGGAAAAGGACAAATGCTGGGATGATCTCACTTGTACGTGGTATGTGAAGAAACAAAGGGAATGAATGATGGCAAATGAAAACAAACCCCTGGACTGTGACAACAGAACTGAGGTTACAAAGTGAGGGAAGGAAAGTGGGGGTTGGGGGATGGGGGCGGCTGAACAACATTAACATTACTGAAAAAAATATTATTTTTTTAAGTAAACTGGGAAAAGTTCAAATTTTTTTTCATAGTTTATTTTTGGGTTTTGGGCCACACCTGACTGTGCTCAGGGCCTATTCGTGGCTGTGCACTCCTGGCAAGTTCGGGGGGACCCTATAGGGTGCTGGAGATCGAGCCTGGGTCAGCCACTGTGCTATCACTCTGGCTCCCAGTTATTTTTGTTTAACTTTTTCAGACATGTAGATTGTAGTTGAATATGAAAACATAAGAAACGATCTATAGAATGCACTGGGTTTTCATCTGCATTTGGATTTTCATTGCCCTTTTGATGATATACTCTGCTGTAGCACTGTCCTCCCGTTGTTCATTGATTTGCTCGAGCGGGCCCAGTAATGTCAGATACTCTCTGTAGCTTGCAGGGCTCTCCGAAAGGGGCAGACGAATCGAACCTGGTTTGGCTGGGCTGGCTGCGTGCAAGGCAAATGCCCTACCGCTGTGCTATCACCTTTTTTTTTTTTTTTTTTGCGTTTTTGGGTGACACCCGGCGATGCTCGGGTTACTCATGGTTCTGCACTCAGGAATTACTCCTGGCAGTGCTCAGGGAACCATGTGGGATGCTGGGAATTGGACCCGAGACGGCCGCATGCAAGGCAAACACCCTAACCGCTGTGCTATCGTTCCAGCCCCTATGCTGTATTCTTAACGGTTTGCTCCTAACCACAACCACAAAAAGAGAAATAAACTTTACCTTTATAGTCTGTATTGCCCCAGATCCTCTCAGATCTCTCAGACTGTCAATAGCTTGCTGTGGTGATACTGCATCAGACAGGTATAGGAGGAGACAAGCGGCTACTAATAGAAAATGATAGAAAATAGCACGTTATTAAATAATTAATAACAGGGAAGAACATTGTATATTTAGAATTTTGCACTGAGTCTGGTGTAACTGTTCCAAATGATTTAAAAGACAAACTTTTTAGTAGTCCCCCCCCCCTTTTTTTTTGCTACAACCCAGAGTTGTTCAGGGGTTACTCCTAGTGCTGCACTGCGGAATCACTCCCAGTGGTGCTCATTCCCACTGTATGGGGTGCCAGAGATTGAACCTGGGTCAACCAATTCAAGGCAAGTGACTTACTCACTGTGCTATCTCTCGGGCCCCATAGTATGTGTCTTGGATAGTTATTATTTTTAAGTGATCATGGCTGGATTGGGCTGGAGCGATAGCACAGCAGTAGGGCATTTGCTTTGCATGCAGCCAGGCCGGCCGAGGTGGGTTCGATTCCCCGCCCCTCTTGGAGAGCCCAGCAAGCTACTAACAGTATCTCGCTCGCGCGGCAAAGCCTGGCAAGCTACCCATGACGTGTTCAGTATGCCAAACACAGTAACAACAAGTCTCAAAATGGAGATGTTGCTGGGCCCGCTCGAGCAGATCGATGATCAACGGGAGGACAGTGATATATATGGCTGGATTAAAGTCTAACACTGGCTTCATTCTTTTTAATAGCGTTATTGTTATAGTTCATATACTACACAATGCAGTAAAAGTGTACACAATTCAGTAACTGAGCATTATCATAGATAGTACAAAACTCACCACTATCAATTTTCAAACACTTGTCATCTCAAACAGAAACACTGCACATCCGTGTCATCCTCCCACGTGCCCTAAGCAAATTCTAATCTGCTTTTGTCTCATGGATTTGCCTATCATGGACATGTCCTATCAATGCATCAGACTCACTGTGCTGCTTTGGGTTTCTTTGACTTGGTACAGTGTTTAGGATTTACACATATTGTAGCATCTATTAGTTCTCCATTTGTTTTTAAAAATGAATTATATGGAGATACATTTTATGTACTTGTTGATACATTTAAGTTGCTTACATTTTTGGACTATTATGAATGTTGCTCTATGTGTTTATGATCAAGTTTTTGTGTAGTTGTTATGTTTTAATTTATTTGGACTACATAGGAATGGGATTTCTGGATCACAGAACAACTGTGTTTAACTGTGGAACTGCCAGAACATGTTATGAGAGCCCGGGTAGTGTATGGGGCTCCCAGGTTCTGTACATCCTTCCAACATGCATTATCTGTGTTTTAAAAAGTAGTCATTCTAATGATATTAAATGACTTTTCATTGTGGTTTTGATTTCTAGTTCTCTGATGATGAGCTTCTTTCCATGTGCCTGTGTGTTATTTATACATTCACTTAATGTCATAGATAGCTTCTTGCAAACCTTTACTGTAAGATAACAATGGGTTTGTCCATTCAGCCTTGCCACAGGGAACTTAGTTTACCTTAAAGCAATGTCCTTTCTGCATGGACACAGGAAGACAGTTAATATTATGCTTTGTAACCTGGGAATTGATTGACTCCAATAATATTTACTCCTGGGCATCTGCTTTCTCGACTCAGTTGCCCTTAGTTCCTAGCACCCCAAAATCAGGGCCCCAACGAGGGACTGAATGGACCCAGGGCAAGCTGTGAGCTATCCTGGCATCGAAATGGGCCAGGCCAAAGCGCCACAATACTCAACTATAAGTTGAGACCATGATCATAGACAAATGCTGACATGATCCAAAAGTAACAAGACTAGGACCCTGCTGGGGTTAGGAAGACTAACCTGGCCTAAGGACTGTGGTAAGATGTCCTCAGGAAGAAGCAAACTTTAAGTTTTGATATATCTCTTACTGTGCTCATACAGAATGACATTGCTAGAAATATTAGAAGTAAATTTACTACAACTATTTAAGTGGATTGCAAGCTGAGGAAGAAGAAATCGACACACCCTGAATGGGATCCCGCCCTTAAGTGGATCTCCTATTAATCCAGAGTAATCTCTTTAGATGAGACTTTATCCTTGAGTTAATCTCCTGGAGATTTAAATCTCCTGGTCTTACCTTTCTTTGTTGATTTGTTAATGTTCAACACACCTTTGTGTCACCACCCTATGTGATTGCTATATAAACTAAGACTGTAAGAGCAGAGGGAAGCAGAGTCAGAATCCAGATGAAGGGCTCCAGAGAGAGAGAGAGAGATCGAAGAAAGCTGCCCCTAGAGCCCACCAACAACACATCATCATCTTCGCATCGCTCCCCTGTGCACGCATATGATATTTTTTACACTTGACTCTACATGAAACTACATATAATGAAGCAGACCCTCAAATATGTCTCCTTTAACAATGTCAACACCATTTTATTATTACAATGAAATAGCATTGAACAAAATGATATTTGAGGTGCTACTGCATTTAATTTGGAAAAATGTTTTTTATCCTTTGCCCATTTTTTCACCGAGTGCTTTGTCTTTTTGAGTTTTAAGAATTCTTTATCCTAGATATAGCAAATATATATACTTGTTTAGGTATCTATATATACATACATACTTATTTTTACTATTCTATGGGGTGTCTGTTGGGATATTGTCCTTGGAACATGTTTAAGTTAATTTTTTAAAATTTTATCATCATTAAAAGGAATAACTCTTACTCTACTGAGACACTTTTATTAACTTTTCCCCAACACAAGTACAATGTATTTTAAAAAAAAACTTTTTTTTTTTTTGGCTATACTTGGTGCACAGGAATCACTCTTGATGGCTCTGGGGAAAATATGGGTTTTCAGGGATGGAAAGTTGGCTGTTTACAAGGTAAGCACCCTACCTGTTGTACTAATTCCTTCAGCCCCATGTGTACAGTTTTATTATTTTTTTTTAGGTTAACACAGAAGTTTTATTTTTCATACATATGTTGTCTATGGATATTATTTAGAAGTCACTGTCAGTATCATAACTCTCAGCACAGGGAGAACATTAGAAACCAAGAATGCAGGTGCTAGGATTTGTAAAGTATATCTTACAGAATCCTCCAAAACAATGCTGAAAATGCCTCCCTTCTCATCCATCCAAGTTTTCTAGGGAACATAAAATTTAGGATTTTACATTATCCATTGGTTCCTAGCAGATTTATATTGTGTTTTGTTTCACTTTAACACAGAATGAACAGGTCCAGAAATAGAAATTTGAAGTAATATAAAAATATTGAGTAAAAATACAGTTCTTACCAAGACAAGATCTCCCAAGTCCTCCATAACAACTGAAAGGGAATTAGAGTGTTAAAGTTAGTACATTCATTCTGACCCAACAATCACAACTGAGACCTATGCATTCTTTCCTCTAATTTAAAAACCTAGCACAAGGCTTTGTATGTGCAGGTTAATAACTAGTTTCACATTGATCAATAGAGAGCAAAGTGTATTTGTTTGTTGGGAGGCATTTTGAACATCTTTCAGGGGCAAGGGAAGGTAGGGCAATTTTAATTGACCTTTTAAAATTCCAGGATCCACATTTGAGAAAGGAACATGTTATTAAACAGATATAAGACTTTTAACCAACTGTCCCTTTACCTTATTTTCCCCTGTCTAATCCTTAATAGTTATGAGACAAGTGCTGTCCATATAATATTACTCTTTCTGTATCTAAAAAGAATAAAGAGGCATTGTACTACAGAAATTCAGAGCATGGGCTCTCTAGCCCACTGTCTTGGTGGAATCCTGAATCTCTTTGCTATTTATTAAATATATGAACCTGAACAAGTTACTTTGTTTCTCTGGGCCTCTCAACTTTTCATATATATATGTATATATATATATATATATATACACACATATATATATATATCATAGTCGTCAGTGAGTGCTAAATGAGAGAAAACATCTGCGTGTGCTGAGAGAAAACATTTGTAAAGGGATCATTAGAACAAGTCCTGGCACAGCAAAAGAAGTCAACAAATGTTGGGAGCTGGAGAGATAGCACAGCCGGTAGGGCATTTGCCTTGCACACGGCCGACCCGGGTTCGATTCCCAGCATCCCATATGGTACCCTGAGCACTGCCAGGAGTAACTTCTGAGTGCAGAGCCAGGAGTAACCCCTGTGCATCACCAGGTGTGACCCAAAAAGCAAAAAAAAAAAAAAAAAAAAAAAAAAGTCAACAAATGCTAACTGCTCTTATCTAACATGGTAAAAAAATGAACAATTCTCCATAAATGGGTGTCCTAGAGAAATGAAGATTAATCCTCAAGGCAACAAAGCCACTTTTATTATTTTCAAAGACTCTCCCCAAAATATATTACATAGCCTTAACTTTCTCGGAAGGAGACTGAACATAATCTGGTGCTGATGGCCTATTATGAACATCAATTATGGTAGTTTTAGACAGATGTATGTGGCAGAGGACCAAACAGGACTGGATCCTTAGTTTCTACCGTGCCCACTGTTTCAGATTGATGAGGATTTGCCAAATAACGCAGTAGCTTTCCGCCAAATTTATACGACTTTACACCATACTATCTTTCTTCCTCAGTTTGAATGATTCTTATTCTTCTAAACCCAGGTCCAATTGTGCTCTTTGTGTTTTTGTGCCTCTACAGACACCAACAAGACTTTGTGTCCACAAAGACTCTTGCTGTAGCTTTCAGAATGGGAACTACAGACAGGAGGTTCCTGAGCTTGGCCTCTAGGGAGGTCGGCTGGGCTTGCTGTTCCTTAGCTGTCCTGAGACTGCATGGTTATCTGGAATGATCTTTTTTTTTTTTTTTTGCTTTTTGAGTCACAGGGGTTATTCCTGGCGGTGCTCAGGGGACCATATGGGATGCTGGGAATCGAAGGCGGGTTGGCTGCGTGCAAGGCAGAAGTCCTACCTGATGAGCTATAGTTCCAGCCTCTGATCTATTTATTTTGAGCTCAAAACTGTGATTTTTTGGGGCCTTAGGGTTTTTGAGGTATCAAACTATACAGCGGTAGGGCGTTTGCCTTGCACGCAGCCAACATGGCCGACCCGAGTTCGATTCCTCCGCCCCTATCGGAGAGCCCGGCAAGCTACCCAGAGTATTCGATATGCCAGACACAGTAACAACAAACTATACAATGTTCCATTTCCCCCCCCCCCCCCCCCAAAGAATAAGCTACTCAGAGTTTATAAGGATTCTGCAAGTACTAAGTGCAATGAAGGACTCCTGGTCTCTGCAGTGCTACTGTTTACTGTTAATTGTCACTTTCTTCTTCCTTTCTTCAAGCTACTTTTTTCTTTAAATTTTTTTTATCCCATTTTGTTTCAGACTTTCATACCAACAGTTTGTGTATAACCTTGACCAAAGTGAGAGTTCTTTTATTCTGGCAAAAATCATTATCAATTAATATAGCTTTTAAGTCATATTTAAGATGCCTTGATACTTCAGGATGATTTGTTTGCTGCTAATTTTAAAAAAAGTAGATTTTCTTGCTATTTGCAGCAACTAAGAGTAACTGAAAGGCTGAGTGCCAAGTAAGGTGTTATTGTAAAACCAGAATGATGCTATTTGTTTATTGAGAGGGAAAATGTTCCAAAATGATAACTAAAGGTTTAAGACAAAAGGGAGTGAAAAAAAAAGCCCCTGTAGCCCCACTCCAAAAATTTCCAAGCCTATGCCTTTATTGTTTTTATTGTTCAGACATGATAATGGCCAGTATCTGGGTGCTTGCTGTGCACCAGACATCAATCATTCTACCAACTTTCATGCAGTGTCTCCTTTTTACCCTTGTAACAAACTATAACACAGGTAATAAGAGAATGAGGACATAATGATTCAAGAAGTCAATTTGGTTGGGACATTTCTCAAGGACAAAAGGAGAAAGGGAGAACGTACTGTATTAAGGTTTTCCGGTTATTTTTAAGGCAGATTGCAAGCTCTTCCATTATTTCACAGCATCTGGCTATGTCAGGAGTCCCTCCATCTGGGATTGGATGATGATGAGTGATAATTCCATACTGATGGTAGAAGTCCAAAAGGTTTGGGACTCTATATTTTGACAGTTCCCCTCTGGTGCAGAAAACAAATATGTCTTGTATACCATAGCTCTTTAATTCTTCTGTCAATAGACCAAGATACACATGGACACATGTGTAAGACATCACAGATTTAAATATGGCCAACAGGGAGACTATGAACTTAAATTTCTTAAGTGAAACTACATAAATAACAACCAATTATCTATAAACATGAAGTGCTTGTTGATAATACAAAACAACGTTGATTTGATTTCCAACTAGGGAAAAAAAAGTCACTAAGGACTCAGGATGTTATTCAGTGGCTGAGTGCATGCCCCACATGAGAGACAGTAGATTAGATCCCAAGTACCACTAAAATAATTAAAATAGTCTTTAAGCACAATATAGGAATTAGAAACATTTGAACCAAAAGATGACTAAAAGTAAATCTTAATAAGTTAAGATTTTTATTGAATTTTAAAGATAAATTTAAAAAGATTAATAAGTTATATTTTCAAACAAACTCTTGAGAATCATAGAACATCTTTCTATTTTTTTTTCCAAACCAAACATGTTTGTTTTTACCATAAGTATGGTTTTGCTCTAAACACTGCAGATGGACTTCAGTGCAAGGAATTGTATTTTCCCTTGTTTGATGGAAAACTCCTCAGTATCATATTTAATTCTATGGACAAGGTCTCTCGGAAATAAAACACTAACTTTATTAGAATTACGTAGCTTAGCTAATTTTACTGTAATGATATGCATCAGAGTACTATATAAGCTATTCTATACACTGGAATTTCCTTCTGACAAAATTTACTGTGGAGGAATTGGTTTAAAATGGCATCTAGGGGGCTGGAGCAATAGCACAGCGGGTAGGGCATTTGCCTTGCATGCGGCCGACCCGGGTTCAATTCCCAGCATCCCATATGGTCCCCTGAGCACCACCAGGGGTGATTCCTGAGTGCAGAGCCAGGAGTAACCCCTATGCATTGCCAGGTATGACCCAAAAAGCCAAAAAAATTAAAATGGCATCTAGTTCTGTCTAAGACCCCATTTTCTCCCTACCTCTTAATTTCATGGACATTTAGCCGTATAATATTTGAATATACTTTTTATAATGAACCTCGAGAGCTGCTTTTGAAATACGGTTACTCTAAAATATAAGTCTAAAATCCATACATTTCTGATTTCAAAGTCTAAGACAGAATAAAACCCTTTCAAAAATCATTTGTTTTGAACTTAAAACCCATCAAGGTGATATTATTTGGGTTAAATGAAGCAAACAATATTATTTCAGTTAACTTCACCAAGGCATTTGAAGAAATGGTGGGAGCACCTCAAGCAGGGGCCTACAAGCTACTCTCACTGATACATGGCTAACTGGACCCCACTATTCAGTGCTCAGACCCAGTGATGCATTGCTCCTGGGAACCAGTGAACTAGTAGTCTTAGCGGGCCACCAGGGCTGCAGTGCTTCAGAGGCCATGTGATAGTAGGCACTGAGTACAGATCCCTGTGAGCCTTGATCACTGAGTCACTTTCCTAGTCGCTCTTACCAGTTATATACTGCTCCTATTTTTCACTCCTATTATATACTTATTGGACAGTGTTATTCAAGATATTCCTATTATCTTTGCATTTGCTGGAGCGATAGCACAGCGGGTAGGGCATTCGCCTTACACGCGGCCAACATGGCCGACCCGAGTTCGATTCCTCCGCCCCTCTCGGAGAGCCCGGCAAGCTACCGAGAGTATTCGATATGCCAGACACAGTAACAACAAAGTCTCCAATGGAGACGTTACTGGGCCCGCTCGAGCAAATCGACGATCAACGGGAGGGCCTTTGCATTTGCTAAATAACCTGTAGTTAACATACTTACCTATTTTAAGGATGGGTAATTCTTGCATTGGCCTTGCCATTTAAATAGGACAATTTCCACTCTACAGTGGATTTTAAACTTCGCTAGAAAGAACTGAGGAAGAACTACAGAAATTTCTGCTAGGGAGATTTGGGGTTTCCTCATCACATTTCTCATATGATTTATATACTGCATTCCCAAGAATGTTCAATACCTTTATAGCCTCAAGACTATGAATCCAGCAATATTTTTGTAATCTGTACCATTGTGGTACAGAATAATCACAAAAATATTTTAAGATTTGAAAACTCAGAATCATGCAACATCTACATCTTTTTTTAAGATACATTGTAAGGCTGGAGTGATAGCACAGAAGTAGGGCGTTTGCCTTGCATGCTGCCGACCTGGTTGGCCCAGGTTCGATTCCTTTGCCCCTCTCAGAGAGTCCGGCAGGCTACTGAGAGTATCTCGCCCACATGACAAAGCCTGGTAAGCTACCCGTGACGTATTCAATATGCCAAACATAGTAACAACAAGTCTCACAATAGAGACGTTACTGGGCCCACTCGAGCAAACCGATGAACAACAGGACAGTGCTGCAGTGCAGTAAGGCTACCGATAGAACTATTAAACTTGCTATTTCAGGTTAACCAGAATAAAATATTTTAAAAATCCAATTTTTTTGTACTTTGCAGTGTGTACATTCCAGAGTGGTACAGATTACAAAAATATTTGCTGGATTCATAGTCTTGAGTCTATAAAAGTGTTGAACATTCTTGGGCTTGCAAAGGTCAGCCCATCACTTTTCCATCACTTGTCTAAATTTTCTACACAGGATGGAAAATTTCATTACCACCTCGGTTCCTAGCTCAGGCTTATTTTCTACTACCATAGTCAACTCTGTAAAGAATATTTTCAAAGATGTAGGCAGTATAATATTAAGTTTTCCTATTTACATACTTATCTCACTTAATCACTTAATGTCACACCAACTAACTTCAAATGTACTTTTTATGTATAATATAAACACAACAATCAGAAAAAGCAACTTCATGTTTCGGAAATGATGTTCTTCTCTTCACAAATATCTCTTCACATATTAGGATAAATCTGTAGTTTGAAAACTATAAAATACGGAAAATTTATTTGACATACTAAGAAAAGTGCAGTTTGTTCCTATTAACAAAGATTTTTAGTTTTTGAAAATTAGATGTTAATATGACTGTTTTCTATTACACTTACCTGTATCTTTTTGGATATTTCTTCTAACATCTTTAAATTTACAACCTATAAGTAGTGATAAGACATGTGAAAAGGTCAATTTTTAAAAATCAACAACCTTTATACAGTTCTGTATTTTTCAATCTATTTTATTGTTTTTCTTTGAGTGTTTAGATCTATTTTAGCGTTTCCCAAAGTGGGCAATGGAGGAGGGGGCAGTAGTTGTTTCAGGTGAAATTGGGGGTCACTTTCTGGTTGTTCACTTGAAGTAGGTAGATTCCCAAGGGGAGGGCACGGAGGGTACTGAGTGATTTTTTTTTTTTTTTTGGTCTAAGAGGAGTGATAGGCGAAATAAGTTTGGGGACCTCTGATCTAGAACATAGATTCACAGTGAGGGCTTCCAAAACGGATTTCCCAGTACCGATGGCCCATGAGATTTTCTTACAAAGAATGATATATCAGCTGACATAAGTTTTATTTAAAATATATCAGCAGGAAGTCAACTGTAGCATTCCTACCTGGAAGAGCACATAAACCGAGAAACTGAGAACAATTCACTCGTGACAGGGATAGCCTAAAAAGAAAAGAAAAACTTTGTAATTTATAATTTTTATAATTTTTTAAGTTATAAAAGGAAATTTAATTTATCCAATGTGTATGCTTGATCCTGGTTGCTTAAAACACATAAGTTAAAAAAGGAAATTTATAATTAAATATCAAAGTGTTGGTTTAAAAAAACCTTACAGAAATTATAACTTTTAAAACAGGGGCTTAGCATTTGCTTTGTTACAATTTAAGTCTGAAAAGTGACAAATTAATTTAAACTTAAACATAACAATTCCACAGTTGTCTACAGCTAGTATAAAGCGTATTTCAGTTACTCTGTGGTTATGTTCCCTGAGATCTAATTTATTTATTAACTTCAGGTAAACAGTTTTAAGATGACCATCTGACATTTTAATCCCCAACATTCATTATAATTTTAAGATCTCTTTGTAGGATTTCCTTCAACAAATGTGATAGAAACAACAGGGCACTCATTTGTCATAAATTCAATTAAAATGAATAATTTCATGCACTCATTCCCAAGCTGCAGTACTTTAGGGACAAAGGGGACAGAGACTCACCTTGTCTGCAAAGCAAGAGCTTTAAGGAAAATGGGGCACATTAATGCCACCTGACTTTGAAAATTAGGATTTCAAATGAGAGGGAGATTCATGGGAGGGAAAATAAAAGTTAACTGCTATTTGATGGCTGAACAAAAGAATGTCAGGGACAAAACGTTTATACTATTTTTCTCTTCATACACTAAAGAACTGGAAACTTAGAGTATTACAAGCACAGGGATCAGAGTAAAGCATTTGATTGTTGGTTGTAGGGTATCTGGTGTAATCTTAAGTCACTGCCAACATCTGGAAGTCAGTTTCATACAAAAATATTTGTTTTTTTACTATATTGTGTCTATTATAATAGGCTTTTACTTTATTGATTATTCTATGGGCTTCACCTAGCTGAGCTCAGGGCTTCCTCCAGATTCTTTGCTCATGCTGTGCTCTGGTATACTTGGGTACCAAATGAGGTGCTAGGGATCAAATTTGTGTTGGCTGCATTCAAGGCAAGCACTGCCCGCTGCACTGTCTCTCCAGCCCAATTCATTTATTTTAAACTGGAATAGCTGATGGTTGCATTACTGTGGCAGATAATTCTAGGATCTGTCCATGATAAATGATTCAATATATCCTTCTTTGGTATACTTGTCTTTTATTATGTAAGAACAAATAGGACTTGGTACTAAATGGGAGGGCTGGAGCGATAGCACAGTGGTAGGGCGTTTGCCTTGCACGCTGCCAACATGGCCGACCCGAGTTCGATTCCTCTGCCCCTCTCGGAGAGCCCGGCAAGCTACCGAGAGTATCTCGCCCACAGGGCAGAGCCTGGCAAGCTCCCCGTGATGTATTCAATATGCCAAACACAGTAATAACAAAGTCTTCAATGGAGATGTTACTGGGCCCACTCGAGCAAATCGATGAACAACGGGAGGACAGGACAGGACAGGACAGGACTAAATGGGAAATCACTCCAATCCTGTTTCAATGCCTTGATTCAACAATAGCCTTTTCATATGTAAAGATGGATACCCTACCTCTCAAAAAAACATGTTCTGGGGCAGAGATATAGTACAGCAGGTAGAGCTCTTGCCTTCCATGTGGCTAACCCAGCTTCAATCCCTGGCATCCCATTGGGTCTCCTGAGCACTGCCAGCATTGATTCCTGAGTGCAGAGCCTGGAGTAACCTCTGAGTACTGCCAGGTGAGGTCCCAAAACCAAAAAAACAAAATTAAATTAAAAAACATATTCTATGATAACGAACGAATCAGATTAGAAGATTCCTTAAAGGTTAAAACTGTATAAGAAGAGAATCAACTATTTTCAGTATATGCACTACAGTCTACAAGGATCATAACTTATGATTATAGCTAAAATTTTAGTGCATGAATGATCAGAAATGTTAACATACCATGATATCAGAATTGGAGTCTGTTCATCTTCTATAGGATCTTCATCTGATGAGTCAAACTCACTTGTTTGCATTGAACTAGGCTTCACAAGAAATCAGTTATATTAGACAATTGTAAAGAACATATAGTCTTAGCATACCGGATCCTTGCTTAAATACATTTTATGAATATTTTTAATTTATGCAAAGCATAATAACATAAAATATTAACACTTATTATTCACACTAATCATATCAATAATTATAGCACTACAGTAGTGGAAAGACATGTTTTATACAGGAAACCTGCCTTCCGGCCTTGGTTCTGTCACTAATAGTAGTATAATCTTAGATAAGCTACTTTAGTTTTCTGCAGCTATAAAGTTTGAAGACATCATTATTCATCCAGATCTTTTTTTTTTGGTGGGAGGCAGCACCCAGTGGTGTTCAGAGCTTACCCCTGACTCTGCTCGAAGATCATTCCTGACAGTGATCAGGAGACCTCATATAGTGCCAGGGGCATGCCACTTGCCAAGACCAGTGTCTCAACCCCTGTCTGGCCCTAACAAACATTTCTTGAACACCTGCTATTTGCCAAGCTCTGGAGGGTGCAAAGATTCATAAGTTAAATATCCTGCTTTTCGAATTAGTATGCATGGATTAAAGAGGAAAATTTTAAGTGGAAGCATGAACAAACAAAGCAGGAAAAGGAAAAATAAGACTGCTTAGGTAGCTGAAGGAAGCTTCTGGGAGCTGATGCCTTAGGTGGGTTTTGAAATATGAGCAGGTGTAGGATAACACGGTTTCATCCTTCCTGCATAGCTTCAGGTAGTTTAGGTTTATTGGGTTGCTCCCATTCCTCTGTGTTTATTTGTAACTTCTTTCTTTCTATTCTGTTGACTTGTAAATATTGTTTTTCTCTTCTCCCTAAGTCCTTTGCATAGTTTATTCAGAGCAACATCCTTTTTGTATGGACACAAGAAGACATGCTTTTGTAATATGACTCTCAGTGATATTTCCCTCCTGGGCATCTGTTCTCTCACCTAAGCCTCATCTGCCTTTACTTCCTAGCGCCTCCAAAAGCAGGGTCCTGACGAGGAACTAGATGCAACAAGGGTAAGTGGTAAGCTATGTGCTACCCTGGCATCGAGATGGGCCTGGCTAAAGTGCCATAATGCTTAACTATAAGTTAAGAGCTTGGGCATGGAGAAGTGCTGTCATGATCCAAAAAGTAGTAACTAGATTTGGACCCAGCTAGGGTTAGGAATGATTAATCTGGCCTGAGTGCTGTAGTGAGTCTGTGGCAAGATGTTCCCAGGAGAGCTGCCCTACAAGCCTCAATGTTATCTTTTACTGTGTCCATACAAAAATAGCTAGTATTGATATGTTGATAGTTATTGGACTGAGGAAAAGAGAAAAACACCTTAAGGGGTATTTTGCCCTTGGGCAGTTAGGAAGGGCTTTGGAATATCCTAGGTGGTGTTCCCTTTGAACTTGGTGGGCCCTCAGGAAGGGCTTTCTTATGTTGATTTGGCTACCGGACTAAGGGCAGGGCAGCCCGGAAAGGGAAGGGAGTTGGGGAGACTAGAGGGCAGGAGAGGCAGAGGGGAGACAGGAGTGAATGGAGAGAGGATTGGAATAAACTGCAACGAAGACTAACCAGCCTGGCTCTCGCATCTTCCTTCCTCTGCCCTTGGCCAACAACCGTCCTGATCCAGGCCGTACACAGAGGCTCAAGAGCACCGAATATGGGCAGTAAAATAGAGCTGTTCAGAGAGCCCGCGAACACACAACCTTCAATGTGCATAGTTTTTACAAGCAGGAGACTTAGGGAGGTTGGGAAGAAGCTACAGCAATTGAGGTAAAAGGAGGAAATGGCTTGTATATTCAGAAACTGGTATCAGAGCAGAGGAGGCAAAGTTAGAGAAGTACTTAACCCATTTCTGAAAAAACTCTTCCCTATTCAGCCAAGTACTTTGGGGTGGGGAAGGAGAGCTATAGGTTGAATAATCAGTTTTGTGAATCACTGGGTCAGAGAGAATAAGATTTACTTTTTTGCTGATCTAAAGAGTTGGGATTAAAACTGTTAGCAGTTTCATGAGGCAGATTATTGGAGTTGTGCAATAGAAAACACCTCTTTCTTCCACTCCCTAGTTGGTCTTACTTTGTGTGTGTGTGTGTGTGTGGGGGGGGGTTACACTTGGCAACATCAGGGTTCCTGGCAGAGCTTGGGGAACAATATTGGGAACCCGGGATCTGACCTTGGATGGATGTATGCAAGGCAACCTGTACTATCGCTCTGGCTTCAGCCATTTTCCTAATTGGAACCAACTGAGAGATGAGACATTGAAGAGGCTCATGGAGATCAGTATCAATTTTTTCACAGTATCACCTAAAGGATGTGGCTTTAAAGCTGGCTTGTAAATTAAGCAGGCTTCTCAGTTCTTTATCCCAGAATCAGAATGATCTACCCAGTCACAGGCAGCAGTTGACAATGCAGGGGCTTGCACGTATGTGGCAGACCTTAGAGTTGTCCATAGTGAGCAGAGAACTGGTAGAGCCACCTGAGCCGAGATTGTCCCAACCCCAAGGATGAGATCACTCCCTGGTACCTCTTGTGGGGACATGTGGAGAGAGTGTGAGTGAGGCCAGGACTGAATGACAGGGGATTAGCAACCTAACCACCCAATGCCCTTCTGATACTACAGTCGAGAATGGTCTGGTTAGTACAAGATAACAGGGCAGAGCCTATTCAGTCTACAGCGTTGCTTGGCTGGACCTGTTAGTCCTGTCACTGTCCACTCAACTCAAAACAAAGTCCCTTTCGTCGGTGGGGCCCCTTTGGGGTGGGAGACGCAGTGAGATTAGCCAAGCTTCAGCCCTTGAGTGGATTTCTCCCTGTATCTTCTTTAAGGCGGTTTTGGACGAGTGATTTCCAGTCTGTGCGTAGGTAGCAAACCACTAGGTTCTTTCCAGTTCCTAAATTATTTGGACATTTCCATCCCCTATGATTCTCAGGACCGGGTGCCAGTTGGCCTGGGGATGGCAGTGGGGTAGACCCCCGCCCCCCACCGCGACAGTTGTCAAACAGCAACTGTTTGACAAAGGTATCCCGTTGGGCTGCAGGCTTTAGGGTCCGGGATCCAGGACTCCGAGGCACCGAAGCAATCGGTGCCTTCTCTTCCTCGGCGAAACCCAGCAGAGCCACCTCCGATCAGGTTGGGGTGCGCAGGCGACAGCTCCCGGTCACCCTCCGGCCACCCCGCAGGTCCATCTCCCCGCTCCCAACCCGACTCCGCAGCCGCCGCTCTCGCGCCTCCAGGGCAGCCTCACCCGGGTCGGTTACAGCGAGAGTCGGGGGCTGCGACCTGGAACGGGCTGGCCCCGGGGCCAAGAACTGGGCTCAGGATCGAAGCTGTCCCGACAGCTCCCCCTCCATCCCGGCCTGGCCCGGCCCGACTCACCGGCTTCATCGCTAGCAGCCCCACGTAGCCACCGGCCACCACCTCCTCCAAGCCTCCTCCGCCGTCTCGGCGGTCACCCTACGTCAAGCCCGCCCCTCCTCTCAGCTCATTGGTACGTTCTCTGGGAGGCGGGGCGCGGGGCGTTTCCTAAAAACCAATCAGCTCCGCTCTGTTTTTAGTCGGCCCGCCCGACCTGGCCTCTAAGTGCTTATTGGTTCTCAAGAGGCCTTTGAAAGACGCGCGGGAGGAGGCTTCTGTTGTACGTTGATTGGCTGAGAAGACGCCCCCTCCCCCCCCTCCAGCCAGTTGGGAGCGTGGAGGTAGCGTGGAGGGGAAGGTGGGAGGCTGAAGCCCCCGAGGAGTGCCCCGAAGTGGTACTAGAGTAGGGAATTTTGTTTCTTTTCCGTGCGTGTGTGCGTGCCTGCGTGCCTGCGTGCGTGTGTGTGTGTGTGTGTGTGTGTGTGTGTGTGTATGTGTGTGTGTGTGTGTGTGTGTGTGTGTATGTGTGTATGTAACACAAAGGCAGTGGGGAGTGGGGTGAGAAGTGTAAATATATGTGCAAATGTATTTAAATTTGGATATACAGTTGCAAGAATATATGTTGTGGGCTGGAGTGATAGTATAGAGGATAGGACCTTTGCCTTGCAAGCAGCTGACCCAGCCTTGAACTCCGGCATCTCATATGCTCATCCCCTGAGCACTGCCAGGAGTGATTCCTGAGTGCAGAGCCAGGAGTAACCCCTGAGTATGGCCAGATGTGGCCCCCAAACAAAACAAAACAAAAAGAGTGTATGTTGTGGGTGGGGTGGGAGCCGAAAAACTGGAGATGTAGGGAAGAATTGCAATTGATGTTCAAAGGCAGTCTGCTGTAGAATCAGGAAGAGTCCACATTGCAGATGAAACTTCCAGGCATAAGCTGAAAAATTGTCTTTTGTCTTGTTCTAGTAAGGTCTTCAACTGATTGGATGTGGCCCACCACATGCTAGAAGAGACTGTGCTTCCTTCCAGTAACACTAATTTATGTCAGTGTTATCCAAAAGCTCCCTCACAGAATATCCAGAGTAATGTTTGGTCAAATTGCTGGCCTCTGTCACCCAGTCAAGTTGATACAATAAAATTAACCATGACATTTAAAAACCATCTGCTAGGACATTCTTTTTTTTGTTTTGGGGCCACACCCACGGGTATGCAGGGCTAATTCCTAGGTCAGTATTCAGGATCATTCTGAGAGGGAGCTCCCGGGATCAGAAGGGATGAGAGTGAGGGAACTGTACTGTCCCAACCCAATTTAAACCTGTGCTAGCAGTCCACATGGTGACTATATTCTAGATGGACTTTTTTTTTTCCAAAACAATAAAATTAAATTAGAGATAATTGGGGTGGAGCAGGGAGGAAGAAACAAGGAACTTTTGGGAAACATTACTGTGTTAATGTGAGTTTCAAATAGAAAGGCGTGGTGACACGTGGAACTCGTGGAACTCGAGGTCTTGGTGGCTGAGAGCTGTTCCCCTGGCCAGCCCATGTCGATGGAGCGACAAAGAACGGGGTGGGAGACAGAGAAACAGGACCCCAGGCTGGTTGGTAGTCAGTTTATTTCTCTCTCCTCCCCAGCGTAGTCTGATCTCTCCTTACAGCACAACCATAGTCGTAGTTTTGGTCGTAGTCTCAGTCCCTCAGTCCCTCATCCTCATCCACATAGTCCTCCTTTTTCTAGTCTAGTTCTTATCTTCTTATTCCTCATCTAGTCCCCTCTTTCCCCTTACAGCATAGTTATATAGAAACCATGAAGGATGGGGGGAGGGTACACGTAGTTGGGGTTGAATATTGTCATAACCACAAACAGAAGTAAAGTCAGGCTTTCCTTCAGGGGAAGTTATAAGGGATTAAATTGAGGACAGAATCTCATCTGAGGGTTCAGCACTCCATATTACTAGGAGATTGCTCAAGATTCCATTCAGGGTATATCACTTTCTCCTTTCCTCAGTAAGTAATCCATTTAAACAATCATAGTAAATTTACTTCTTACAATATTTCTAGTCATTTTGTATGACTACAGTAAGAGATATATTAAATTTAAAGGTTGATGCTTCCTGGGGACATCTTGCTATAAATTCCAGACCACAGTCCTCAGGCCAGGTTAGTCTTACCTAAACCCAGCAGGATCCTAATTGAGTTACTTCTTTTTGGGTCATGACAGAGTTGGTCCCATGACCATGCTCTTAACTTTTTATACTTATGGTGCTTAGATTTTCCCCTTTCAATGCCAGGGTAGCTTACAGCTTGCCCTAGGTCCATTCAGTCCCTTCATAGAGACCGTCCTTTTGAGGGTGTTAGGAATTAAGGGCAACTGAAGTTTAAGTCAGGTAAATATGATGGATGCCCAGGAATAAATATTATTTGGAGTCAACTCCCATGTCACAAAAGCATAGCATGAACTGTCTTTCTTTGTATTAATTGTGTTTATACAAAAAGAACATTGCTAAATAAACCATGCAAAAGACATAAAGGAAAGAGAAAAGCAATATAGGATTATTAGTGATTGATGGAATTGGGTGTGCCTCAGGGGCACTGTTGTGGAAATAGCTCAATAATCCTAAGTTTCCTGCGGAAGAATCAAGCACAGCCCAACGTTATCCAAAGTTATGGAAATGGTAGTCCATTTTGATTTATTTTCATCAAATGAAATTCTTGATAGAATTGAGGAACTGCCCATAGCCCCCCAGATATTTATAGGTGTTGTGTTATTTGCATTTCATTTTAGTGTAAAGGGGATTCAAACAGACATGTATCAGAACCTCAAATATTGCTGTAGGTCAAAGAATGGACACATTTTAATATGTATCTGCTTTCTGTTTTGTGAGTAGTATCATAGCTAGTGTAATCAGTAGCTATGGAAGGTCTTATTTAACATGTATTTGAAATAAACCCAGCTGGTCCTTGGTGAAATTGTGTTTTTATTTTATATTATTATTATTATTGCATTTGGGATCACTCCCAGCAATACTCAGGGGTTACTCCTGGCTCTTCACACAGATATTGCTCCTTGTGGTGCTTGGAGGACCATATGGGATGTCGGGCATTCAACCCAGGATGGTTGCATGTAAGGCAAACACCCTCCCCACTTTGCTGTTGCTCCTGCCCCCCCTTGGTGAAACTGTAAGTTAGATAAAATCTGACTTTGGTGCTTTGGTAGCTATTACCTCATCTTTGCCTGTGCCCTCTCTGAGGTTAAAGTGAACATGATTGTGAAGGCATGTTGGGGAAAGGAAAGAATGGCAGCATCAGCCGTGCAAGTGGAGGCTGGGGCTACAAAACTGAAATAGAACAAAAAGATCAAAACAGCCTCACTTCAGTCAGTACATTGAGTTTGAACTAATAGAAGACATCCTTCAAGTGTCTGAAAGTGAACCATTTTAACCATGGGCTTAGTGACATCCTTACCTCTAGATTCAGAGCTCCAATTTTGAAACATCGGACTTTACTCTTACTCCCTCCAGCCTTCATTTCTGGATCCTGGGAACCCCTACTGTGCACCATCACCGATCCAAAATATCTGTCATTGACATATTTTGTGTATGAGAACCTCTGGCTGGATTTCTCTGTACTCTCCTGGGATTGGGATGGCGCAAAGGATGGGAAGGAGGAAAACTGGTGAGTGATCCTAAAAGGTAAAGACCAATTAATATTGGCCAGTGGGATAACAAACAAAACAAACAAACAAACACTGTCCTCCCGTTGTTCATTGATTTTTCTCGAGCGGGCCCAGTAACGTCTCCATCATGAGACTTTGTTGTTACTGTGTTTGGCATATCAAATACGTCATGGGTAGCTTGCCAGGCTCTGTGTAATAAATTCATCTTTTAATAAGTGTATGTAGGATGAAATGATCAAAGATAAATCTACCAATGTTTACAGATGCTTGAAATAACAAAGAAAAAATTTAAATTTTTTCTTGCTTTCTTATAAAACTATTAGTTGTACAAATACCTAGTTGCTCTTTGACTCATCAAAAAGCATCAACACTTAACACTAAACTGGGCTTGTCACAAAATATGTCATTATTTCTGCTTATAAATACAGAACTGATAATATATGCTTATGCTTCTTTGCTAATGCACTCCAAATTTAGAGAATGGAAAGCCTTTAATGTATGCCTGTGGTAAAGCAAGGGCTATTCTAAATGCTAAATATTCCTTGGGAAGAAAGGAAGAGAGTGAATGGTATTTGTAAAATAGAGAATCAATTTACAAAGAGGGTAGCAGGTCTGGAGGGTTGAGAGGAGAAGGTAAAGTGAAGGTTCCTGAGTGCTGTGGAACCAAGTAGTTCAGAGGCCTGGAGTGTCTGCGCCAACATGCTCCTTGTCCTCTAGGAGGGATCCAAAGGATCCTGAGACAATTGTCTTATCAGTTAGGGATAGTTACATAAGCTCATCCACAAGTAAAGGCAGGGAAGTGTAAAATTGAAAATCCAGGTGTGTTGGCCAGCTGGTAGAATGAGTTATTTAAGCAAAAAGATAGCTAGTTGGTTATGCACAGATAGGTGGAAGTAGATGGTTTTTAAGTAACAGTAATTAGTAATAGTTGCCATTTCCCCTGGGTGCTTCTTTTGTGTCAGTGGCTGTTTGAGACTTTTTTGCCTACATTTTCCCCATTATAATTCTCTCATTACTCCCAAAGTTGTTAAGAGTAGAACCCGGGCTGGAGCAATAGCACAGCGGGTAAGGGGTTTGCCTTGCACGCGGTTGACCTGGGTTCGATTCCTCTGTCCCTCTCGGAGAGCCCAGCAAGCTACCGAGAGTATCTTACCCGCTCAGCAAAGTCTGGCAAGCTCCCCGTGACATATTCGGTATGCCAAAAACAGTAACAACAAGTCTCACAATTTGTTGTGAGACGTTACTGGTGCCGACTTGAGCAAATTGATGAACAACAGGAGGACAGTGCTACAGTGCAGTGCTACTCCAAAAGTGGGTATAGCAAGTTGAAGCAAGGTTTAAATGTGTCCAGTTTGTTGGCAGTGGAGCTGGGATTTGTTCTACCTGGGTTGGCCTCACAGGCTGATACACACTGT